TCCTCTGTGTCAGGTGTCTGTTTCTCTTCTCCTTAAAATATCGTTGCTTTGTAGTTTCAAATCTCAGTCTTTGCTTCTCTGTTCCTCAAAGTTACAAATGAGAGATTTGTAAGGTATGATGAGTTCCTCTTTTATCTCTACTAATTCCTCTTCTGGTGTGTTTTGATTTGTCAAATAGTCAGATGTAGTCTGAGCATCTGTTTGAATGTTTGACGTGAGATTTCTGGATTTTAGTTCTGTAATAGGTTCTTTCAATATGGCACAAATTTCTGCAGTGACCTCATATATCTTTTCCAGTATAAGATTATAATTTAGTTGTGAATGTGATTCCTCCATTTTAATAGTAAGTAGAAAAAGTCTCTTTTTTCTTTTTTGTGGGGACTGTATTTGATAAAGATTAGTCAGTGTCCACCCCCACAGTTCCCAACAGCTGCACAGCTTATCTTTTTTCAAAAATAATTTGAAAGTCAAAAGTTTCCAAACAATAATCAGAAATTACAATGTTAAATTTTCGCCACTAGATGTCCTGTAGGTTAAGAAAAAGTCTTTTCCAGTCTTTAAAAGTATAGTGTGAAAGAAGAAATAATTCCAACACCAGGTGATAGTACAATTCTTTAAAAAAAAGGAGAGAGAATTTTCTGTATCTCAAAAAATATGAAAATAAGATATAGTCTTAAAAAAAAAACGCCTTCTTTCCCAAACACGTAAAAGCTGCCTTCTCAAGTTAGGGAAATAATTCCTACAAGGCTCTTACAGGTTCCAAAAATAAAGTAAAATAGAGAAAGTGGCAAGAAAAAGTCTCACCCGGATTCACCACGGGGGTTCTTACAGCTTAGATGTTCTTTGACGTGGTTTGAAGCAGCAGGGCCGATCTTCTCTGTCGGCCCTCAGAGATCGCCTGGGCAGCTGGAGGAGCCGCCGTTCCTCCGCAGCCGAGTTGAAGCCTCCTTGATGGAAGTCGCACCCTCCAGGGCAACTTTCAACCTGTATAAGGGTCGACCGGCAGAGGGAAAGCTAGCCAATGAGGAGATGAGTCTCCCCGTGCGACTAGGAACGCCGTGAACTGGAACCGGAAGTCTAGATCTATTTTTCTAATCTCTTATTTTTCTTCTCTTTTTTATATTAAAGTTGTATTAGTTTATAACAGGGGTTCTCAACCTTGGCAACTTTAAGACTTAAAGTTGCCAAGGTTGAGAACCCCTGGTTTATAATATATAATACAATGAAAATACAAAAGCAAATAACGCAAAAGATGGGCAAGGGAAAGGGGAGTAGAGAAGTGAGGTAAAGGAGAAAAAAAGCATTGACTTCTGACTTCCTTTGGTGCAATAAAGCAGGGCATTTCAACCAGTGGTACGGGTACCACCTGTGGTACATTGGCACCTGGCAGGTGGTACGCGACCACCCTAGAAAAGTGGAGGGGAATGAGCTGAACCGGTGCAGCACCACGCAAGCCTGAGCAAGAGATGGCTGGAGCTGCAGGGCTGTCAGGGCTCAATGGAAGTGCCAGGATCAGTGCCGCTTTCCAGCTGATCAGCGCTTTGGGGCTGTCAGGGCTTAGTGGAAGTGCCAGGATCAGCGCCAGGTTCTAGCTGGAGCTCAGCACTGATCCTGGTGCTTCTGCTGAGCCCTGAAGAAGCACCAATCAGCTGGAAAGCAACAGTGATCCTGGCGCTTCTGCTGAGCCCAGAAGAAGCGCTGATCAGCTGGAATGTTGCAGCATCTCCAGGGTCTTGTGATTTACATTCAGATGCTTGGCAACTGATTCATATTTATGACGGTCAATGTCTGAGGGTCATGTGAAGTGACCAAAACCTGCTGCAACCGTCCAGCAGATGGGGAGAATAAAAACCAAACACCCACCCCACCCCACTGCCAATCCTCAACAGAAATGCTCACAACAATGAAAACCTTGGACAGGAGGAAGAGCGCCGCTGGGCGGGCAGGCAGGTGTCTTGCTCGGCTGTGGCTTGGGGGGCACTTTTTTCAGTGCCATTGTAACTTCGAACAGTCACTAAGTGAACTGTCGAGAACTACCTGTACTTTATCACTTTTTTCCTTTTTTTTGTCATCAAGTTTTTGACACCTTGCTAGGCAACTGGTGGTACTCGGATATTGCCATATCCTAAAAGTGATACAGTGGGTGAAAAGATTGAAAAGCCCTGTTTTAGGGTCTGTAGGTGACTTTTATAGCTCAATTTCTTTTTGTCTGATTGCATCGAGTATCTTCTGGGACCTTTCCAAATATTTTTTCCTTCTCTAATTGATTGTATTGTATAACATAATCCCTAATAACTGCCTTATTAGCCTCTCAAACAGTTATTAGATCTGTCCCTTTACCTAAATTATTGTCAAAATATTCATGTAATTTCTTTTTACAGGCCTTTACAATTGCCTCCTTTTATAAAATAGATTAATTCAATCTCCATCTGTAACTCAAGCTCTTTTTTCTGAGGACCAAAACAATTGTGTTATGATCAGAAAAGGATTTAAGTAGGATATCAACTTTCAAAATTCTGTTTGCTAAGTTTTTAGAGGTCCATATCATATTGATCTTTGAAAAAGATTTGTCCCTTTCTGAAAAAAGGTATATTCTCTCACGGAGCCATTTTTATGCCTCCATGAGTCTATGAATGTTAAATTGTCCATCATTTCAAAAAATGACTTTAGTAGTTTGCCCTGGGATGATTTGATCTCTTTAGTACAGGGGTGTCAAACTGCCGACCCGCGGGCCGGACGCATCATGCAGAAGCCATGCTCACTCCATTGCCAGCAATGGCAAAACTCTCAATTCATTGTGCAACGTCACATGACATCACGAGTTTGACATGTCTGCTTTAGTAGATGTTCTATCCCAAAATGATGAAATCAGTCCATTTCAATTCCCCAGGATAAGGCAATTTTCATATGAAAAAGGTAAGAGTTGGTCCATAAGGTACTAAAAAAATTGCTTTTCTCCTCATTTGGCACATATAATCCAATAACTATTGATTTTATTCCATTAAAATCAATTTCCCCTATTACAAATCTACCGTATTCATCTGATAAAAGTAGCCTAGGTTTAAATAGGACTTTTATATATAAAACCACTCCATTTATCTTTTTTCTTTTTTTTCCTTTTTTAACTAGTCCATATTTATTTCTGAGAGCACTAAGATGAGACAAGGGGATGAAATCAGTGTGGAAGAAATGTATAGGCCAATATTATTAAAGATAGTGCTTGAAAGTAAATGAAGAGTGTTCTTAAAGATTTCATGCAAAGTGAAATCTCCAACATGTGAACAGCTAAAGATAGTCTTTAACTTACGACCAGTTATTTGACTACCAATTGCAGTCACAACAGATAGATGCTTTATGGCTGGTAAAGCACTTCCAAGCATCATAAAATGCCAGCTTCCCCCACCCACATCATCATATGATCACATTTCATGTGACTGATTGTTAAATGCCATGCAACCTTCCATTAAAGAATTTTTCCAACCTTCTAATAAGGAATATTTGTAGCTCAGGGTTGAAATAAGGTCCTTGATGCTTTCTGAACTTGGTTGTTTATTTGCAAATGTTTCATTAGCCAAACTAGGTAACATAATCAGTGCTAGTGATGGTTAGGAAACACCTGCAAGAAAACAACCAAGATCAGAGAGCACCAAGAACCCTTCATTTACAATCCTTTCTGCCAGTTTCCCCAGAATGTCAGTGGGAAAGCTGGTGGAGAAAGTTGAAGGTGGAAGAGATATTGGATTACAGGTCTGTCCCTCAACTTAGTAAGAGATTTTCCTTCCTCTCCCTGCATGCTCGAAGAACAAAACTCAAATCTGGTGAAAATGCTAGCAAAGACTAGTATTCTGAGCATTGAACATTGGCTTTCACTAGTGTTTTCCCCTCATAGGGGAAGGGAAAGCACTCCTTTACCAGCATTTTCCCTACCAAATGCTAGTGTTCTGAAAGGCTCAGAATATTGGCCTTCCGCTTTCAGAATCTTTCAAAACAGATGTTAGCTAGCATTTTCACCTCTGGAGGAAATCCCGCAATACACTGGAAGAAGAATCTGAAATTTGGTGAAAACACTAGTTATCACTATCTTCACTGGTGGTTCGCAGAGGGTCCAGGCTTCTCAAGTGGTTAGAGGTCTGGGCCATCTCTCTGGCACCCCACCCCACCTAACAATCCATGTGGTCCCTTGACTGTAACTGGAAGAGCAGGAATTGTGTTCATTGAGTAAAGTAATGATGTAGCTTGTTGAATGATCACTCAACAAATGACATTCTAGGCCCAATTGTGATTAAAAAAAGGACTACTTGTTTAAGTGACTGGCATTCACAAGCAATATCCAAAATAACTTAAAATATTAAAATACAAAACTTAACCAGTAAACAGTTTTACAAGCAAAGTTTTTGCCATGAAGGCCAAATATACCTACTATGAAGTTTTCAAATATTTAATTTCAGGTAGTAGGAATATACATATTCTACAAGTTTAATCTACTTTATTTATGCCTAAAGGGAATTCTGAGTGATCTAAGAAAAACTTCAGACTGAAAAATTAAAATTCCAATTAAACAATTTTAAATTTTCTACACAGATGTGTCCATGCTTAGAGCTGGATAATATTCTATATTTCTTAGTAAGTACCTCTGTTAATTGTTTTCTGAAAGGGAGTTTATAATAGCCCCGCAGTTTTAGAATGTCTTCGAAATCCTGCCTGTACTTCTGGTAGTTCTCAATCCACATACTACTGGAGTCCAGCTTGTAGGATTTTAAGCATAACTTTACTAGCATGTGAAATGAATGCAATGGTACGATAGTTTGAACATTCTTTGGCATTGCCTTTCCTTGGAATTTGAATGTAAACTGACCTTTTCCAATCCTGTGGCCACTATTAAGTTTTCCAAATTTGCTGGCAAATCTCAGAAATAATTGCTGAAGTGCTCCTAAATAAAGAGGAAGCCAATTTTTACAAATAAGATTTAACTTGTGCGAATGTTAAGGTCTATTATTCTTTTATCTATCATCGCAAGCGACTATTTTCATTTCCGGAAATATAATATATTCGTATCTCTATGATCCTGTAAGTGACGTATATTGGATGCAGCTACGGGAAAAGTGTTCGTATCGATTGAGGAGAAGCCAAGATGGCGGCGGCAGTAGGTGGCGGCGATTTGGGCGCAGGAGGCCACGGCGTCGCAGATGTCAACCTCCTGGGCCTGGAGGGCGAGGCGGGGCCAGACTCAGAGCCCGACTCGGAGGTGTTTTCGTGCGTGGCCCACTGCTCCGACCTCGCCTGCCGCCAGAACGAACAACGGCGGTTAGGCCTCTTCTGTGACGTCACGTTAGCCTTCAGTGGCGGCAGCAATGAGGAGGAGGGGGAACTGGGCGGGGCCTCATCCGGCTCCGATCCGCCGCCGCGGGAATTCCGCGCGCACCGCTCAGTCCTCGCAGCGGCCACCGAATACTTCGCTCCTCTCCTTCTGGGCGACTTCGCGGAGTCCCGTTCGGGGCGCGTAGAGTTACGAACATGGAGTTCGGGAGCCGGACCAGACCCGGAGACGATCGAGGCGGTCATCAGCTTCATGTACACGGGAAGCGTTCGCGTCAGTCCTGGCAACGTGCACGAGGTTCTGGAGTTGGCCGACAGGTGAGGCGGGAAGGAGGAACGAAGTGTTCAGATAATAAATAATACGCCAACCGACTGATGCATGTTGGCAGAAATGTTTTCCTGAGTTCTGATGGGTGAAGATACCTTAATCCGAGGGAGTTCTTAAGGAAGGCAACCAAGGATGGTCGTTCTGTCCCTCCTTCCCTGGAATTGTGAAAGTTGATCTTGGTTTTCAGTGTAAACCAGTGATCATTTTAATTGGAGTAACTAGCGGTCTGGCTTGCTATAAGGCATATTAATAGGCTATTAGAACTGAACAAAGTAAAGAAACACACTGAATGGCAGCGCTGAACCTGGTCTTAACAAAGGTGAAAATTTTTATGGCAGTGCAGTTTCTGAATTACTTGAATGGTAACTGTTGGACAGTTACATGAAGGGGACTGTTGGACAGTTAAAGACAACTTCGGTTCTGACACCTTTTGAAAAACACAGCGGTATTTGACATTGCTGAATGTCACCTTAGTGGAAAGTAAAATACATGTTATTAACTATCTAATAATTCTCTGGTGGCATTTCTAAATTGCCTTTTTATTTTGCAGGTTCTTACTAATACGTTTAAAAGAGTTCTGTGGGGAATTTCTCAAGAAAAAACTGAGTCTCTCCAACTCTGTAGCCATTCACAGCTTAGCTCATATGTACTCTTTGAACCAGCTGGCTTTAAAAGCTGCTGAGATGATCAGGAGGAACTTCTACAAAGTCATCCAAGATGAAGAGGTCTATACATTGCCATTTCCCCTTATTAGAGACTGGCTTTCAGATTCAGAAATCACAGTGGATTCAGAAGAGGTTCTCTTTGAGATGGTTTTAAAGTGGGTGCAGAGAAATCCTGAAGAAAGAGAAAAGTATTTCGGAGAGCTCTTTAAGCTTCTCCGACTATCACAAATTAAACCAACCTATTTGACTCGGCATGTTAAATCTGAAAAGCTTGTATCAAGCAATGAAGCTTGCCTCAAACTTGTGATGGAAGCAGTGGAAAGCCATGCTCTCAAGGGTGAGAATGTTCAGTTGGGTACGCTCCAACAAGTTACCTCCCCCATCTCGTCTCTGCCTCGCTTCGGCCAAAACATGGATGTTATCATGGTCATTGGTGGTGTATCTGAGGGTGGTGATTACTTGAGTGAGTGTGTGGGGTACTTTATTGATGAAGATAGATGGGTGAATTTACCGCACATACACAATCACCTTGATGGGCATGCTGTGGTAGTAACCGAATCCTATCTTTATGTGGCAGGTTCCATGGAGCCTGGTTTTGCCAAGACCATGGAAAGGTATAACCCATGTAGAAATGTTTGGGAGCAGGTTTCTAATCTGATAACCAGGAAGCATTCTTTTGGACTTACTGAGGTAAAGGGAAACCTCTACAGTATTGGTGGGCATGGGAATTTTATCCCTGGTTTTAAAGATGTAGCTGTCTACAGTCCTGATCAAGATAAGTGGCACAACTTGGAGTCTGCACCAAAGATACTCCGGGATGTTAAAGTGATTACAATAGATAACAGATTTGTTTACATGGCAGCTCGCACACCAGTTGACGGAGATAATGAAGATGGCTTGAGGTCTGTCATTATTCGCTATGATGCAGACACACGACAGTGGCGAGATTGTGAGTCTCTGCCACTCCTTGACAACTATTGCTGCTTCCAAATGGTGGTGGGCAACACCAATTTTTACCACACCGCTTCATGTTGTCCCAGAAGCTATCCTCTAGACCATGAAGAGGCCAAGAGAAAAATCTCTAACCAGGTATCTGATGACATTCTGGAAAGCTTGCCACCAGAGGTTCTTAGCATTGAAGGGGCAGCTATCTGCTATTACAAAGATGATATTTTCATCATAGGTGGGTGGAAGAACAGTGATGATACTGACAAACAGTACAGAAAAGAGGCCTACCGCTATTGTGCTGAGAAGAAGCGTTGGTTGTTACTCCCTCCTATGCCTCAGGCTCGCTGCCGTGCTACAGCCTGTCATGTGAGAATCCCTTTTCGGTCCTTACATGGTACCCAGAAATATCCAATGCCACAAAACCTAATGTGGCAGAAGGACCGGATCCGGCAGATGCAAGAGATACACCGACATTCCTTATGTTTACGGAGGATGCCTCAGTCTCAGATAGAATGCTAGCTTGAATAAATACATCAGAAATACTCATCTGTAATTGTCATGCCTGACCTGAACTAATGGTCACCAAAACTGCTGAAGTGTTGGAGACAAGGCTTTCTTACTGTTAAGTATTTCTTGTGGATTATAAGTACTACATGGAAATTTGGTGTATACTAGCCATAAATATGAATGTAAGAAGACATAGAAAACCCTTGCAGTGTTTCTCAACCTTGACAATTTTAAGGCATGTGGACTTCAACTCCCAGCATTGCTGGCTGTGGAATTCTGGGAGTTGAAGTCCACATGCCTTAAAATTGTCAAGGTTGAGAAACACTGCCTTAGAGCCTGTTGGTTTCTCCACAGATATGACCCACATAAAGAATCCAAAATAAAAATTGTTCTTGCACGTTTTGGATGTGTTCAGATAGTATTAAAAAGTCAGCACAGTCTTTCTTTTTCTTTACATTTTTGAAATAGACTTGTTTTTTGTGTTTTGGGTCATCTTTAAACATACAGGTCATGTGAAGTATTTCAGTTTATTCTAAAATGCTGATATGCAAAGGACCATTTCAATGTTTTTTAAGTTATTTTTTGAAGAGGATTTTTTTTAATCTGTTCTGAATCTGCTTATTTCTCTCAAATTTGGAGATGTGCAATAGTTAAAAAACCCTTTTAAGAGGAATAAAGCACAAATTTTCTAAGAACTTCAAATGTTTCATGATAATGTTTTATAGTTTTATTTATCTAAAATCGTTTGAAGTTGTTAAAAATTAATTTTGCTGGTTGGAACATTCACAATTATGATGAAATATTTCTGAATTCTTTAAGAGCATCGCTATAATTTTTAGTGATGACTGTTCGTCCTTTTAGTAGCCCCACTTTTTCTCATTAATTATTTTTTTTCAGTTACTTAAGAATTGTGGCCTTACAAATGAATGAAAAGACCAAAAAAATCCCTAATTTATAATTGAAGCAATTGGGAATTCATTATGCAGAGTTAAAAGTGTATAAACTCAGGTGTCAATTTCTGGGTAAATAAGTCTCAGTACCATTTGGACTATTTTTAACAAATCCATTTGTCTTAATGTGACACCATTTTTTGTGTGGACAGTAGGGAGTACAAGGCTATTCAACTGGAAAATTTGCCTGAATATTCTTGACTTGAGAGTCCACATAATCCAAGTCTTATCTTTTGGCAGCATATAAAATTAATTCCTACTCAAGTAATTCAGATGATTGAGATACTCTAAATTATTTGCTGCTTTCTCTCCATTCTCTTCTAGCCTAGTAGCATGAAGAATCCTATTTTGTAAGTTCTGGTAGTTTTATGAAAGACACAGAATATATTCAGATGATATAAATATATTTTTATTGGTCCAAGGAATATTGAAGTTTTGGAATTCTACAGAGTTGTTCAGACAGAAAATTCATATCAAGCATTTATGCAGTATTTGATGATAGCTTATTGATCCAATAGAGTATTTAATTTACTTTATAAATTCTTTTCCATTACAGATATATTTCCCAAAGTGTCAAACACGTTACTCATGAAATCATCCTTGCCTAGGTAGAGTACCTCTTCATCTCCCCTTATGGCCTTGTGTCATAAATGTGGTAAATAAAGACATAGTGATGGCAATATCTAAGATATCTCAGGAAAAATCAAGGTCTGGTGCATAAGGTCTTCAAATGGTGTATAAATAGAATCCTCAGATATAGATTTTGCCTCTTCTTCATCTATAAATATTGTCTGAAAAACATTTAAGTTCATCTAGGTCTGCTATTATCTCGCTTTTTCTTCTCTTTTAACGAGTCTGGATTTATTGCTCGGAGCACAAAAATGAAACATGGAGATGAAATCAATATGGGAAAGATCTGCATTGGGCAATATTATTGATGGTGTTTGGTAAATATGTCTTAAATTTTAGCAGCACTTTTTTTAAAAAAAACTGTTTTACAATTTAGCAGGAAACCTAATTCATGTCTGAGATACTGGGGTAAGTGTTGAAATTGCATGGATGTGTGGGTTTTCCTAATTTATCTTTGCCATCCTTATTATTTATTATTTAACTGCATAGTGTATGGGGGCATGGTTAAACCTATGAGTTGCAGTAATTATCCTAATATCAATTAAAACTAACGTGTTCTTGTACCACAGTGTCACAAACAACAAACCAATTATGCCGCTTGCCGCCTTAAAGATACTTTATTGTTACCAGCCACTTTTTATGATGTAATAGCTGCTTCAGAAAGCAATTTATTTTCTGGAAATCATTTGACATTCCAAAGCTGCAGGAATCTAAACTTCCTCTCTGAAAACTATTATCTGAAGTACTAATTAAGAAGTACCTTTCTTAAGGACGTTATCTAGCTCCAAGTCTGGGCACATTTATATGGAAAATTTAAAATTGTTTAATTTGGAGTAAAGTTTTTCAATCTGATGTTTTTTTTAGATATCTCAGCATTCCTTTTAAATATAATTAAATGGATTAAGCTTGTAGTATAGTCAGGTCCCTATTAAATACTTTGAAAACTTTGTAGGAAGTATAGCTGGTTTTCATTGCAAATCTTTGCCAAAGGCACAAATAAGTTAATGTATTGACTATACTAATTAAAATGCTTCTTTAAAATTCTTATTTAGTCTGGGTAAGTTTTGTATTTTAAAATCATAAGTCACTTTGGATGTTGCTTGTGAATGAAGTCACAGCTATTCAGTGCTGCTCTTGGGGATTTCAGTTTGCATGTCAAGTTAAGAGCACCCTAGTGAGCAATTGCATAGTATAATATGTAGCATGAAATGTCGAAGTTTCTTAATGTAGTGTTTGGATATTATGCTACTAACTTGCTCTCCTGGTCTGAATGAACAACTCTGGCCTCTATGTAAAAATCTCTTTACTTAGTCATGACAACCTTGTCAAAACTGTCTTATGACAAAGGAAAATCTTCCAACAGATTATCAAAATATTTCCATTTGGAATTATTAACACATCTAGATTATGTTTCCGGCATATTTGAGAGTTTCAGTTAAATGAATAAGACTTCTGCTTGAGGAAAATAATTAAAAATATGTTTTGTTATTTCCTGCAACCAAAAGAAATTGCAGTAGAAATGTTCAGAGACAGACAAATTTCAAAGTTACATAGGGACTTAGGAAACAATAATTTTTTATAAGTTGCTAATTTTCTACTGACAGAATGTATGATTCCACAGTTTGCCTTTATTTTATGATCCTGCTGGAGTATACTAAATCTTTTTATAATAAACACATTATTACTGCATAATACTGTGTGAAGGTGATATTCATAGGCATATATTCTTCATATACAGTATTTGATCTCTTGCTTTGTATTCAAAGCATCTTTAACAACGAAGGTAATTAGATATATCAGTACAATGTTATTAAGGCGCAGGTAGTCTTTTACTTACAACTATTTGATTAGCAACTATTCAAAGTTATAATAGCACTGAAAAAATTGGCTTACAACTAGTATGCACACTTAGAACACTCACAGCATCCCCACGGATACCTGATGAAGTTTCAGGTGTTTAGTAATTGGCATGCAACATTCCAGGGTCATGTAATTGCCATTCATGTTCTTTCCAGTCAGCTTCCTACAAGCAAACAAGGGAAGCCAGATTTGCATGACAACTGCTTGATTCACTTAACTGCAATGATTCACTTATGACCTGTGGCAAAAGAGGTCATAAAATTGAACACGTCTCATTTAACCACTTTGCTTAATAATGGAAAATCTGGTCCCAATTGTGTTTGTATATCAAGTAATCTGTACAGTTTTGCCACAGATAATGTTGGTTGTTTTCATAAGCTCTACAACAAAAAACATAGTATCAAAAAGATTTTTAGTTAGTCGCTATTTAATCAAGTGACAAGTAATTTGCAATAGTTGCCACAAATGACAGTTATAAGCGTCTTTCATCTTGAACTCACATTGCACAAATGACACTTGATGAGGGGAGAGTAACTCAGGAGAAGGTGGAGTTTTCCTCATTTGAAGGAAACTGGTAGTATCAGCTGTTTTGTAAAGAGTTTTGGGGAAATATAGAAACAGCAGAGTTTAAGCTTAGTTTCTCTCCCATCAATAGCTTTGCAATTCTAGCAAGGGTTTATTTGCTTACAACAGTTGTAAATCTGTGAATGGTACAAATACTCAGTTGGTATGCCAAGTTAGACTTGTGGATCTCTTAATTTACTATTATACTTGCATGTCACATAGTGTGCCAAACTAAAATAGAGGTATATATTTGTCTTTAATTATGAAACTTTTCTGAAGGTCATTATTAGATGCAGAATTGCAATTGCCAGCTTCTGGTCTTCTCTAAATCTAATTAAAATAGTAAAAATATAAATATATAAATATAAAACATTATAAAATATAAAATTCTTTCTCCAGGAAAGATTAAGAAACCATAAGATAATTTTCTGTTTCATTTTTCTGTTGTGATCCCAGTTTCCCTTGGTCTGTTCCTCAATAAATGGGTCAGCTCTCAGAGTGCAATGTAACTTCATCCCCGTTCAGTAGAATTCTCTAGATGCTATGCTGAAACCTAAGCTTTATTTTTTTAAAATGCAGTTCTTTGTGTTGTATTACAGTTGTGTAACACTAAATACTAATTCAATAAACATTTTATTTCTCTATGTCTTTTCTTCAGGTTGTTCTATGTCATTGCAACAAGATAGAAAATGAATGAATGAATCCTTTAATTCAGGATCCATTAATTCAAATTTCTGCACTCCTGGTCTAAAATGGCCCATTTCAATTAATGGCTCTGATCAAAAAAGGACTGAATTAGATAAATAAACCAAAATGCCTTCTTATGGTACAATAGTTTTGGCATTGGGATGGGGAATAAATTCCTGAGAATGTTTAGAAAAGGATTTGAAAAAAAATCAACTTTATATGATGTCTCCATGAGCAAAATTTCTGCCTTTTAATAATGTTGCCAAGGTACAAAATGGAGAAATATATTGTCCTGATCTTGGAACTTAGGTGTTTTATTTGCCAGTTTAAACATGGTGGATTAGATAGGATTCCACAATGGGCTTCTAGAATAGAATAGAACTGGAAGGGACCTTAGAGGTCTTATAGTCCAGCCCCCTGCTCAAGCAGGAGAATCTATACCATTTCAGACAAGTGACTGTCTAGTCCACGGGTCGGCAATCTGCAGCTCCGGAGCTGCATGCAGCTCTTTGAGCTATCCCCTGCAGCTCCGGAGCCTCACCCCATCATTTTCAGAGAGATAAGGAGAGAGAGAGAAAGAGGCACTTGCACTTTCTCTCTCTCTCTTTCTCTCATGTGGACTTGCCCTCTCGCAGGGTTCCTGATTGGCCCTGTGCCCGGGTGCCCCACCCCTTGGGAGAAGGGCGGCCAAGAAGTCCCTTTCCCGGGCTGGCCCCGTCTGAGGAGCACGTGGCTGGGGAGCCGTGCAAGGAAGCCCCAAGATCCCCACTGGGAACGGCCACCCAAGCCTCCACTAAACGGGCTACCCCTTCTGCAAACTGTGGCCCTGAGGGAGAGCAGCCTCTCCGATGCCCACCGTTGGCCAAGCAGCAGCAGAGCCGGAGACAGAGGGTCAATGGGGGGAGGGAGGGAGCTCTGAGTCCATGGAGCACTGCTGCGAAGTGGCCATAGGGTAGGTGGTGCCCCCCCCAGCTTACTTGTTCCAGGCGGCAGTCTTGGCTGGGCCATTGCTTCCTGGGCCATCCCTGGGCCACTCCCTGGGCAGCCGAGCCAGCCACATGTCTCCCTGAGCCAGGTGGCAGTCATGGCTAGTGCAGTGGCCAGTGGGGACATTGCACCCCAGGAAGCTGAGCCAGCCATATGTCTCCCTGGGCTGGGCAGCAGTCATGGCTGGGGCAGTGGCTGGCGGAGCATCGGTCCCTGGAAAGCTGAGCTGGCCTTGTGTCTCCCCAGGCCGGGCGGAGCGGCAGTCAGGCATGAAGCTCGCCTGACTGGCGCAGGGCTCTCCGCCGCCCAGCCCTACCTCGGCCCCATCGGTGGTGCCTTCCTTGGCTGCTTTTGGGGAGCCGCCGCCGCCACTACCCTCAGTGTTTCAGGAGAAGGAGACCTTGGGCTGTGAGGGCGGGGCTGGCGGCAATCGGGACCTCCCCCTCGTCCCCGCAGCGGCATTCCCCGTTGCCGGCATGGCCGCCCATGGTGCACCCAGTCTTGGCACCCTCCTCTTGCGATGGCGAAGTGGCTGAGGATGCAACGGCAGCGGCCGGACCGGGGGCGGTGGGGACCCCAACGATGCTGCAGTGGCCGCCGACAGAGCCGCTGCCTCCTGTCCTGCTCCCCCTCCCTACCCGTTTGGCTGAGGACACAGCAGCCGGGCCGGGGGCAGCGGGGACTCCCTACGATGCTGCAGTGGCTGCCGCCGGAGCTGCTGTTGCCACCACCAGAGCTGCTGCCTCCTGTCCTGCTTCCCCTCCCTGCCCGTTCAGCTGAGGACATGGTGGGGGGGGGGCGGCTGGGAGCTGTTGCCTCCCTTTCTGCTCCCCCTCCCTATCCGTTCGGCGCCATCTGCTTTTCGTTCTTTCTCTCCTCACCTGGAGGGAGAGGGAGAGAGAGAGAAAGAGAGGAAAGAAAGAGGAAAGGAAGAGAAGAAAAAGGAAAGAAAGGAAAGAGAAAGAAGAGAAAGAGGAAAGAAAGAGAGGAAAGAGAAAGAGTAAAGAGAAAGGAAAGAAGGAGGAAAGAAAGAGGAAAGAGAAGGGGAGAGGAAAGAGAAAGGAAAGAAGGGGAAGAGGAAAGGAAAAAAAAGATTGAGAAAAGAGGAAAGAAAAGCGAAAGGAGAGAAGGAGAGAAAGAGGAAAGAAAGGACAGAAAGAAAGTTAAGAGGAAAGAAAGAAAAGAAAAAGAGGAAAGAGAAAAAGAAAAGAAAAAATTGAGGAAAGAGAAAGGAAAGAGAAAGAAAGAGGAAAGAGAAGGAGGAAAGAGACAGACCCTTTTGTCATCTAAAATGAAGATAACACTGCATATATCCTTTTTTACCTATTATTTATATACACACAAACATACGCACAACACACATATATTAAAGGTAAAAAAAGAATATATGCAGTTGCAGTGTTATTTTCATTTTAGATATCAAAAGGGTTTTGCGGCTCCCAGTGTTTTGTTTTTGGTGGGAAATGTGTCCAAGTGGCTCTTTGAGTGTTTTGGGTTGCCTACCCCTGATCTGGTCTCTTCTTAAAAACCTTCAGTGATGAGCTCCCACAATTTCTGGAAGCAAGCTGTTCCACTGGTTAATTGTCTTCACTGTTAGGAAGTTTCTCCTTAATTCCAGGTTGCTTCTCTCTTTGATCAGTTTCCAACTATTGTTTCTTGTCCTGCCCACTGGTGCTTTGGAGAATAGTTTCATGCGCTCTTCTTTGTGACAGCCCCTCAAATACTGGAATATTCCTATCATGTCACCTGTTTTCTTCTTTTCTTTAGACTAACCAAACATAAGTCCTGCAGCCGTTCTTCATATGATTTAGTCTCCAGGCCTTCGATCATTTTAATTGCTCTTATCTGAACCTTTCCAAAGTCTCAACATCTTTTTAGTAGTATGGTGACCAAAATTGGTTGCGGTATTCCAGGTGTGGTCTTACTAGGGTTTATAAAGCAGTACTAATACTTCACATGATCTTGATTCTATGCCTTATTTATACAACTTAGGATTGTATTAGCTTTTTTGGCTGCTGCTGCTGCACACTGCTGGCTCATAGTCACGTGATTGTCCACTAGGACTCCAAAGTCCCTCTCACGTTTACTGTTTTTGAACTAGGTCTTGTCTAATCTGTACTTATACCTTTGATTTTTCCTGCCTAAATGGAAAACTTTGCTTTTCTCCACATTAAAATTCATTTTGTTGGGTAGGGACCATTGTTCAAGTTTGTCAAGATCTTTTTGGATCTTAAGCTTGTGTTCTGAGATGTTGGCTATTCCGGCAAATTTGATGAGTTCCCCTCCTATTCCCTCATCTAAGTGATTTATGAAGATTTTAACGAGTACTGGCCTAAGACGGAACCTTTGGTACTCCATTGCTTACTTCTCTCCATGTGGATGTAGTACTGTTGAGGACTACTCACTGAGTACAGTTTGTCAGCCACCTATAGATCCATCTGGTAGTGATGTTGTCTATCCCACTTTTTTCTAGCTTACTAAGCAGCAGGTTGTAGTCTACTTTGTCAAATGTCTTTCTGAAATCTAAGTATATTATGTCCACAGAATTTCGCTCATGGTGGGATTCAGCCAGTTTGCACCAGTTTGGCAGAACCGGTAGCTAATTTTTTGTTGCCCAGGTCCAGAATGGACTTCCGGAAGCAAAATCTACACAGAGAACCAGTTGTTCACATATTTGAATCCCACCACTGATTTTGTTGATCTACTAATTTAGTAATTTTATCAAAGAATGAAATAAAATTGGTTTGGCACAATGTTTTTAACAAACCCTGTTAAAAGTACTTGTTAACTATACTATTTAACTTATTAGGAATAATATGGTTTGGTTGGTTTAGTGTAACTCGGTAAATATAGCCCAAAGAATAGTGATGCCTAGCCACATGCTATAAATCAGAAGGACAAACTTTTTACTGATTTCACATAAGTGGCATACCAGGACTGGATTCTAAGAAAATGTGACATAATTAGAATTCTTAAATCAAGAATTTTGGGCTTAATTATCTTTACAATTACATTAAATTTCAGTTAATACAATTATCTTCATTCCCTTTTAAAATATTTTCTCCTGGCTTTAAAAGTTGAATTGGTTTTCAGGAAGAGCATTTGATTTTTAATTAGTCAATTTTTGCAAATACTGATTTGCCAGAGATTGTTAATTCCTTTTTCTATTTCGGCTAATTAAGAATAATCCTGACGATATTAATCTCAGAAATAATTGCTGAAGTGCTCCTAAATAAAGAGGAAGCCAATTTTTACAAATAAGATTTAACTTGTGCGAATGTTAAGGTCTATTATTCTTTTATCTATCATCGCAAGCGACTATTTTCATTTCCGGAAATATAATATATTCGTATCTCTATGATCCTGTAAGTGACGTATATTGGATGCAGCTACGGGAAAAGTGTTCGTATCGATTGAGGAGAAGCCAAGATGGCGGCGGCAGTAGGTGGCGGCGATTTGGGCGCAGGAGGCCACGGCGTCGCAGATGTCAACCTCCTGGGCCTGGAGGGCGAGGCGGGGCCAGACTCAGAGCCCGACTCGGAGGTGTTTTCGTGCGTGGCCCACTGCTCCGACCTCGCCTGCCGCCAGAACGAACAACGGCGGTTAGGCCTCTTCTGTGACGTCACGTTAGCCTTCAGTGGCGGCAGCAATGAGGAGGAGGGGGAACTGGGCGGGGCCTCATCCGGCTCCGATCCGCCGCCGCGGGAATTCCGCGCGCACCGCTCAGTCCTCGCAGCGGCCACCGAATACTTCGCTCCTCTCCTTCTGGGCGACTTCGCGGAGTCCCGTTCGGGGCGCGTAGAGTTACGAAAATGGAGTTCGGGAGCCGGACCAGACCCGGAGACGATCGAGGCGGTCATCAGCTTCATGTACACGGGAAGCGTTCGCGTCAGTCCTGGCAACGTGCACGAGGTTCTGGAGTTGGCCGACAGGTGAGGCGGGAAGGAGGAACGAAGTGTTCAGATAATAAATAATACGCCAACCGACTGATGCATGTTGGCAGAAATGTTTTCCTGAGTTCTGATGGGTGAAGATACCTTAATCCGAGGGAGTTCTTAAGGAAGGCAACCAAGGATGGTCGTTCTGTCCCTCCTTCCCTGGAATTGTGAAAGTTGATCTTGGTTTTCAGTGTAAACCAATGATCATTTTAATTGGAGTAACTAGCGGTCTGGCTTGCTATAAGGCATATTAATAGGCTATTAGAACTGAACAAAGTAAAGAAACACACTGAATGGCAGCGCTGAACCTGGTCTTAACAAAGGTGAAAATTTTTATGGCAGTGCAGTTTCTGAATTACTTGAATGGTAACTGTTGGACAGTTACATGAAGGGGACTGTTGGACAGTTAAAGACAACTTCGGTTCTGACACCTTTTGAAAAACACAGCGGTATTTGACATTGCTGAATGTCACCTTAGTGGAAAGTAAAATACATGTTATTAACTATCTAATAATTCTCTGGTGGCATTTCTAAATTGCCTTTTTATTTTGCAGGTTCTTACTAATACGTTTAAAAGAGTTCTGTGGGGAATTTCTCAAGAAAAAACTGAGTCTCTCCAACTCTGTAGCCATTCACAGCTTAGCTCATATGTACTCTTTGAACCAGCTGGCTTTAAAAGCTGCTGAGATGATCAGGAGGAACTTCTACAAAGTCATCCAAGATGAAGAGGTCTATACATTGCCATTTCCCCTTATTAGAGACTGGCTTTCAGATTCAGAAATCACAGTGGATTCAGAAGAGGTTCTCTTTGAGATGGTTTTAAAGTGGGTGCAGAGAAATCCTGAAGAAAGAGAAAAGTATTTCGGAGAGCTCTTTAAGCTTCTCCGACTATCACAAATTAAACCAACCTATTTGACTCGGCATGTTAAATCTGAAAAGCTTGTATCAAGCAATGAAGCTTGCCTCAAACTTGTGATGGAAGCAGTGGAAAGCCATGCTCTCAAGGGTGAGAATGTTCAGTTGGGTACGCTCCAACAAGTTACCTCCCCCATCTCGTCTCTGCCTCGCTTCGGCCAAAACATGGATGTTATCATGGTCATTGGTGGTGTATCTGAGGGTGGTGATTACTTGAGTGAGTGTGTGGGGTACTTTATTGATGAAGATAGATGGGTGAATTTACCGCACATACACAATCACCTTGATGGGCATGCTGTGGTAATAACCGAATCCTATCTTTATGTGGCAGGTTCCATGGAGCCTGGTTTTGCCAAGACCATGGAAAGGTATAACCCATGTAGAAATGTTTGGGAGCAGGTTTCTAATCTGATAACCAGGAAGCATTCTTTTGGACTTACTGAGGTAAAGGGAAACCTCTACAGTATTGGTGGGCATGGGAATTTTATCCCTGGTTTTAAAGATGTAGCTGTCTACAGTCCTGATCAAGATAAGTGGCACAACTTGGAGTCTGCACCAAAGATACTCCGGGATGTTAAAGTGATTACAATAGATAACAGATTTGTTTACATGGCAGCTCGCACACCAGTTGATGGAGATAATGAAGATGGCTTGAGGTCTGTCATTATTCGCTATGATGCAGACACACGACAGTGGCGAGATTGTGAGTCTCTGCCACTCCTTGACAACTATTGCTGCTTCCAAATGGTGGTGGGCAACACCAATTTTTACCATACCGCTTCATGTTGTCCCAGAAGCTATCCTCTAGACCATGAAGAGGCCAAGAGAAAAATCTCTAACCAGGTATCTGATGACATTCTGGAAAGCTTGCCACCAGAAGTTCTTAGCATTGAAGGGGCAGCTATCTGCTATTATAAAGATGATATTTTCATCATAGGTGGGTGGAAGAACAGTGATGATACTGACAAACAGTACAGAAAAGAGGCCTACCGCTATTGTGCTGAGAAGAAGCGTTGGTTGTTACTCCCTCCTATGCCTCAGGCTCGCTGCCGTGCTACAGCCTGTCATGTAAGAATCCCTTTTCGGTCCTTACATGGTACCCAGAAATATCCAATGCCACAAAACCTAATGTGGCAGAAGGACCGGATCCGGCAGATGCAAGAGATACACCGACATTCCTTATGTTTACGGAGGATGCCTCGGTCTCAGATAGAATGCTAGCTTGAATAAATACATCAGAAATACTCATCTGTAATTGTCATGCCTGGCATGGACTAATGGTCACCAAAACTGCTGAAGCGTTGGAGACAAAGCTTCTTGGTGTTAAGTATTTGATGTGGATTACAAGCACCATATGGAAATTTGGTGTATACTAGCCATAAACATGGAGGTAGGCAGAGATATTAAATCTTACAACCTGTTGGTTTCTCCACAAATATGATGCAGATAAAGAATCTAACAAAATAATTATTCTTATACTTTGTGGATGTATTCAGGTAGCATAAAGATTTAGCACAACTTTTTTACATTTTTGTATTGGACCTCACTATATAACATTTATACAGGTCCTGTGAAATATTCCAATTTGTTTTACAATGCTGGTGTATATGGAAAGCACCATTTCATTGTTTTCTTAAAAGATATTTTTATCTGCTTTTGCAGAGGTGTTTCCTCTTTTTAACCTGCTGTAAATCTGCTTATTTCTCTCAAATTTGGAGATGTGCAGTAGTAAAAAAAAGTTTATAAAACAAATAAAGCACAAACATTCTAAGAACTTCAAAATGTTCCATGATTATAAATATTTTAAAATTGTAGTAGCAACTTGAAGTTGCTAAAAGGTGAACCTAATAATAATTTTCAGTCATATAATGGAAATGTTCTGTTTTTTTTTTCCTTTAAGGATGTCACTATTATTTTTAGTGATGATCATTCTGTTATTTAGTAGTGCCACAGATTTCTCATTAATGAATTTTATTTAATTGGTTCAGAATTGTGGCCTTAAAACAATGAAATGACCAAAAAGATCCTAATTCATAATTAAGGATTTGTGAGTTCTTCATGGAAGGATTAAAGCTGTGTAAACTTGTCCAATATCTTGACAGGTCTAACTACCGTTTGATCTATCTTTGACAATCTAAGTCTTTTGTCTTAAATGATACACCATTCCTTATGGGGATAGTAGTCTCTTTGATTTTGAGTAAAAAATTTGCCTGAACAATTATTTTTGACATTAAAAACCCATAACTCCCATGTCCTAATTAGATTTATATATTTTATATGGCAGCATATGAAATTTATTCTCATCCAAGATAATTCTTGAGATAGATATAAATTATTTGCTGCTTTCTGTCGTCTCTCCATCACGCTGGTAGTAAGCAGAATCCTGTTTTGTTTAAAGTTCTGATAATTTCATGGAAGGTACAGAATATGTCCAGATGATACAAATGTATTTTTATTGAACTAAAGTGTACTTAGGTTTTAGAATGGTACAGAGTTATTCAGGCAGGCAAAGTCATATGAACCATTTATGCAATATTTAATGTACACTTGTTCATCTAATAGAATATTTTATTTACAAATTCTGTTGCATTGCAGGTAAATGTCCCAAGATGTTAAACACGTAGTATGATGTCCTGAAGTAATTTTTTTATTGCATTTATTACTTATCTTTTACTCCTTTTTCTAACAAACTGAATATATATTTACATTATTTATCCTGCCTCTTCAAATGATTGAAATAAATTACTCCAGAAACCATCTTTGGCAGGCAAAACATATTTTAATTTCTCCTTTTTGTTTTTGGGTCAGGAATATAAAGATGTAGTAATGGCAATGTCTAAGAAAAATCTAGACCTGATGTATGTGATCATCAAATAATGTGCAAGTAGAATCCTCAGAAAAAAAATTGGCTTCTTCATCTAAATATTTTCTGAGAAGGATCTAAAATAGTTACTTTCCTCTATGTCTACTTTTCTCATCTCTTAATTTTTTTTCTTTTAACTAGTCCAGATTTATCTTTGGAAGGACTAAGATGAGCTAAATAGACAAAATCAGTATGGGAGAAATCTGTATTGGGCAATATTATTATTGATGGTGTTTGATTGGTATATAACTATGACTTAAAAGTTTAGAAGCACTTTTTTAATAAATTAAAAAGAATGTTACAGACTGACCAATACTGTTTTCCAATTTAGCAGGAAACCTAATTCATGTCTGAGTGGGGTAAGTATTTCAATTGCATGTGTGCAGATTTTCCTAATTTACCTTTACTCTTCTAATAATACTTCTTTTTATTATATAGCTACTGTATATAGTGGGTGGGGGCAAGGTTAATCTTGTGGACTGAAATAACAATCCTAATATTAAATTAGGACTAACGAGTTCTTGTCGGACAGCATCACAGACATTAACACTCCAATTATGCCGCTTGCCTGCCTTAAAGATGCTTTATTGTTACCAGACATTTTTTATAGTGTAATAGCTGCTTCAGAAAGCAATTTATCTTCTGGAAATCTTTTGATATTCCAAAGCTGCAGGGTCTAAACTCCCTTCCTCAAAACTATTATCTGAAGTACTAATTAAGTATGATTTTTAAGAATATAATCTAGCTCCAAGCCTGGACACATCTGTATGCAAAATTTGTTTAATTAGAAATTGTATATTTTCAATCTTATTTTTTTAGATCTCTCAGTATTCCTTTTAATCATATATATATAGCTATAGCTGTAGTACTTGAAATTGTGTCTTATATGTGTCATGATAACCTTGACAAAATTTTCATTACCTGAAGTTAAACATACATTTGCAATCCTGATAGTAGGTATATATGGCCTTCATTGCAAATATTTTGCTAAATCAATAAAAATAATCTATTGACCATATTGATTAAAATGCTTGTTCAAAATGCTTGTTTAGTCCAATAAGCTTTGTAGTTTAAAGTTATGAGTCACTTTGGTTATTTGTGAATGCAGTTACTTACAGCTATTTACATGCCTTGCTTGGAGATTTCAGTTTGTATGAAGAGTTAAGAGCAGTATGAAAAGCAGTTACATTGTACAATATGTAGTGTCAAATATCAGAATTTCTTAATATCTGGATATTACGCTACTAACTTGTTCCTTTGGTCTGAATGTACAACTCTGGGTTAAATGCGGTCTCTTCTTATGTAGTCATGACAATATTGACGAAATTGCCTTGTAACAAAAGGAACAGACTACAAAAATATTTCCATTTAGAGTTATTAAGAGATCTAGATTATAATCCTCAGCATACCTGAGCGTTTCAGTTAAATGAATGGAACTTCTGCCTGAGTGAAAATAATTAGAAATATGTTTTGTGGCAAAATATATTTCTAATTATTGCAGTGGAGATATCAAAGACAGGCAGACATCAAAGCTAGATAGGCTCTTAAGAGACTTTTTTTTTAAGTTACTAATTTTCTACTGACAAAATAAACAGTTCAACAGTTTGCCTTTTATGATCTACAGAAGTATTGTAGATTTTTTTTATAATAAATGGACATTATATATTGTCTGAAGGCTATATTCATAGGCACGTGCTCTTCATATATTTGAATTTCTGTTTTGTGTTTGTATCTGTTTCACTAAGACTCAACTTTCATAAGAAATGTTACTACATATATCAGTACTCTATTATGGTAATTACAATTTTCCCATATTCGACACATTTTTATTACTATAACATCTACAACAAAAAACATGAGAAATATGTTATGTCATTATTAACAGTGTGACAATAAGCCATTTGCAAGAATTCCTACAAAAGAATAGCACTGTTATAAGTGATTTCCATCTTGAATTCACATTGCGCAAATGACACTTGATGTGGGAAGAATGACTCAGGAGAAAGTGGAGAGTTTCCTCATTTGTAGAAAACTTGTAGTATCAGCTGTTCTGTAAAATGTTTTGTGGAAGTATAGAAACTTCCCAACAATGTCTTTTACAATTCTGGGAAAGGGTTATTTGTTTATAATGGTTGTAAATCTGTTGATACAAATTGATGCTCAGTTGGTAAGCCAAGCTGATACTTATGGACCTCTTAACTCACTGGCTGTCTCTGAATTTGAAAAAAAAAATAGTAAAAATATAAAAATTTATAAAATATAAAACTCTTTCTCCCAAGAGTTCGTAATGGATCAGGAATTCATAAGATAATTTCCTGTTTCATTTTTCTGTTGTGATCCTAATTTGTATTTGTCTGTTCCTCAATAAATGAGTTGGCTCTAAGACTGCAATACAATTTTCACCTGGTTCGGGCAGAATGCTCTATCAGGGGTGTCAAACTGCCGGCCCGCAGGCTGGATGTGTCATGCCAAAACTGCACCCACCTCATTGCCGGCAATGGGAAAAAGGTCGCAATACGTCGTGACACATCACATGACGTTGCGAATTTGACACCCGTGCTCTAGATACTATGCTGGCCTCTAAACTTTATTTTTTAAAATGCAATTCATTATGTGCTATATTACCTTGTGTAACCCTAAATACTAATTCAATAAACATTTTATTTCTCTATATATATTGTTCTTCTCTTATTAAAATTCTTCATGGATATGTTTTCAGCACAAAAGTTCTTATCCTTCAATTTCAGTTGTGATCAGGGAATTTTTAAATAGTGCAAAAAAAAGTTTTCTGTCATTTTATTCATATCTCACTTGTCTCTTATAGAATGAACAAACTAATCAATGTAAGGTGTACAAATAGGAATATGTTTATTTCCTAATTCTGAAGCTGCCCATTCTAGAAAACATAGTTTAGAACAGTGGCAGGGAAAAGGCTAATGGGAAATTAACCATAACTTCTTGAGATTTAAACAAAATTTTAAAAATCAAAATAAGGGAAGTAATAGTTCCATTCTGTTCACCAATAATAGGCTTGAAATATAATACCTGGCTGTTTGCCTTGCACTTTTGAGATGTATTTAGCTGTGAAGAAGGGAAGATGGTCAGACAACTGAAAATCTAGTAAGTAAAAGAAAAGGAAATTTCCCTTGGGGAAAAAAAAGGATATACTAGACAACCCATGACTAGCTGGATTATCCTTTCAGAGATATTTCCTTACTAGATTCCTTTTATAATAATTTTTATGTCATATTTTATAAATTTGCCATATTTTAATACCCTGGGAGTCATGGTCCCCAGATTTTGGAGACAAAACAATCAAGTAAACAGTACACCAATCAAGGAACTACCAATGCAGACAAGCTAACAATAAACAATAGCCCAGTCAAGGAACCTCTAAGAACACTCCTACCAAGGCTGACAAGCAAGCTACTAATATATAAAAATAAGAGCAAAACTCCCCTTCTAGCACTGATGATGTTAACTAATTTGACAGTGAAACATCTGCAAGAAAACTATCAAGCTCAGAGAGCAACAGGGATCCTACAGTCTTTAACATCTACTTAAAAGTTGCACAAATTACCAGTTTGCTTCCAGGTCCAATTCAAGATGCTTCTTTTGACCTTTAAAATCCCTCATAGCATGGGGTTGGGTGAAATGAACCACCTCCATCTGACTACATCTGCCCATCCTATTAGATCTGGCAGAATAAGTATATTTTGAGTCCTGTCTGCGAAGGTCTTAAATCTGGCAGGATTTCAGATATATCATTCCTCTCAGGTGAGACTGGCCCCAGCCCTGCCTTCCTTCCATAAGTTCCTTAAAGCATGGTTGTGTAATCAAAATTGGGAATTAGAGGTAGTTCTTGACTTATAATCAATTGCTTAAGAACAAAAGTTATGACAGACCTCCCTGAGTGTACCTGTAACCTAATGCTGAAGTGCCAACAGTCAGTCCCCCTTCCACCATCATGTGACTGGGCACTGGGCGATTGGCCCATTTCTATAGCCATTTGCAGCATCTTACTGCTTTTTACAAACTTTTTGCAAGTTTTTGCAAAAAAAAGCATATATTTTTGTTTTTTGGCAAAACCAGCCCATAGTGAACAATGGGTATGCTTAATAACTAGAGCAAAACACGTAAAATTGTGCTGGTCACATATAGATGACCTGTTTTACAGCCATAATGAACAAGATTTATGACTAACCATCATAAGTCAAGGAATACCTGCGTATAGTATTGCAATATGACTGTAGTGCCTATAATGATAATGTAATAAGATGGCTGTATTGCCTTTAATGGTAACTCTTTGCTGCTCTGTTGCTGGTAACTTTGACTGTTTTTAATTGTAGAATGCTCTGTGTTAGCTTTTTATGATTTTTATTGTACACTAAGCAGTCACATTCTGTGAGATGGTCTCTATATAATTGTAATATCAATCTATCAACCAACAAAACTAGCATTACAGAGGGAAGCCTATTTTCATAAGTGAAAGTATTTTCTCATGTTCATCTGAACTTTTACATAAAAGTTGCTTTCTATTCGATACCTATAACAGGATTGTATACTATATAGCTAAAAGGTATTCAAGACAAATTGCAGATTGAGCTGAGAAATGATATCAACATCTGTTTTAAAATTGTCCTGTCAAACTGAACTTAAGCTCTATGGCCTTACTGTCACAATCAACACCAGGAATTATCCATTTTCAACAATATTATCTCCAGAAATAGGTCAAGTTGTAAAACACGGGTGGATGCATTAAAATAATTAAAATGCCAAAATGTTCCAACACTATTTTAATGCAGTTTAGTTACTACTAAACAGTTGTAAACTTGTCAAGGACTTTATGACTATAAATGCCTCATCATTAAGGAGAAACTTCCTGAGGACAATTAACCAGTTGAACAGCTTGCCTCCTGAAATCATGGAGATTTTTAAGAAGAGACTAGACCAGTGGTTCTCAACCTTTCTAATGCCGCGACCCCATAATACAATTCCCCATGTTGTGGTGACCACTTATACATCACCGGGTGCCAGGGATGTGGCCAAAGAAAAGGGGAAAAAAATGGCGGACAGCCTTGTTTGGCGACCCCCGTAAAATGGTCGTTCGACCCCAAATGGGGTCCCAACCCACAGGTTGAGAACCACTGGGCTAGACAGTCACGTGTCTGAGATGGTATAGGTTCTTCAGCTTGAGCAGGGGCTGAACTAGAAGACCTCCAAGGTCCCTTCCAGATTTCTATTCTATTCTATTCTATTCTATTCTATTCTATTCTATTCTATTCTTAGAATCCTGATCTTCAACTTTAATCCCTGACTATCCCATTTTTTGAGATACCATTCCTCAGTCTCCATTGTTATGTACAGATTCATCTGTAGCTCTATCTTAAGTGCAGTGTTGGGGAACTTAGAGCTGGAGGAATCCTAATACCATTAACTAAAAGTACCGTATTTGTGCATTTATTTATTTTTCTTATTCATAATCTTCTGGTACAAAATATGAAAAAGTGGTAAGATTTAAAGTAGTAGATGCCGTGTCCACACAACATGCAACTTACTATATTGAACTGAATCCAGTTGCTTAATTTCACTAATACACTGAACCATTACTCATATTGATTTGTACAATGAGCCAGATATTAGCCACCCACATATTAATCCAACATGTTTTAGCCCACCACTGCAAAATATGTACATTTTATAAGCAAGTTTTGTATAAACTCACTAATGTTTTTATCCACCATAAAATTTTGTAAAGGGTAGAAAAAGCTTTGTGTAGAATTAGCTTTAATGCATTTGATATTTTCATTTTTCCATGCAATTTAAAGATGGTTATTTAAAACACAAAAAGGTATGGGATAGGAAATGTCTGCATACCTCTTCTTCAATTCTGGAGTTTCAGTGAGTATAACTACCAATTCAATGTTTTTTATTTATTCTTTCCTCCTTGCTGTAAACCAAAGCAATATTCTGGAGAGAGATTATGTTGTTAGAAGTAAAAAAAATTAAATTGGGGCTCATAGCCATTATACATAAATGAGAGGATTAGATAAACCTCTCAAATTAAGCATTGTTTGGGCTGACATAACATTGTAGAATAGAAAATAATGTTTTGTCCTATCCTATTGTGTGAACCAAGGCATCATATAGACCTGTTTACTTCTGTTATGTTCTCATCATACAATAAATAATAAACATATAGCTGTAATATGGGTAGTGAGATGGGTGACATATAAATTTAATAAATTGGCTTATTTAAATTTAGACACAATATGTAAATTTAGACACAGTATGGGCCTTTTTGGGTAACTCAGATATAACACTAATAAATCTTACATTTGACCAAGTATTTTATGGCCTTTTACTTTTCAGAGGGATACTAAAGGCCCAGTAGACTCCTTGACTTTTTTCTCTACAATAGTGATTCTCTAAGTTTGGTTAAATAATGGGATTGGTCCAAGTCACTCAGCAACTTGCACACCCAGCAACATTCTATTCTCCAAATCAAAGGAAAATGTAAAGCTACCATATCTGTAGCTGTCCTTTCCCCACAATTCGAAAATATGACCAAGTTGCTACCTTTATTTGAGAACAGGTAGGATCTCTTGCTTCCGTAGTGCTTTCTAGCAGATGTAGCGATAAGGAAAGGGATCATCATGGGGTTATAAGCAAAAGTTACTAGAACCAATAATTACCTTATGAAATATAAAATTGATATTTTTACCAGACCCCTCCCCCCCCCCAAAACTCCTCGGGTTGTCAGGCAAAGCTCTCCAAAGCTAAAGCGGAGATACTCCCTCTTCAGGGAGGTTTTTGGGAAACAAGCCAATTGGAGCCCTGCAGCTCACTGATTTCCTTTGGCTCCTCCTCTGTGCAGTATAAAATGCTTGCAGAAAAAAGAGCTCGTTCCAGTTGCTGCTAGAAACCACTGCTTTTTGTTTTTGTTTTTTTATGCTGCTTTTGTGACAGGTTGCCTCCAGGATGGAGGCTCCAGCTTGAGCACGTGCCATCAACAACTGGTAAGCAGCCATGTCCCAGCTCAGGTAAAAGGGCTTTGTGAATGAGCACCTACAGTGTAGTAACTCTGAGTTTCCATTTTTTTCCAGATTTTCAGTTGGATACTTTTCAACCGTTTTCAAAAATGTTGCCTATATTGCCAAATTGTTAACTGGCAGAAAATATTTTCTTTGGCCCTGAATAAATAGGGACAGTTATCTTGCCCTAATGCAGCGGTTCTCAACCTATGGGTCGCGACCCCATTTGGGGTCGATTGACTATTTTTTGGGGGTCGCCAAAGAAGGCGATCTGCCATTTTCTCCCCTCAGGGGACGGTGCTGCGCATGCGCAGAACGTTTGTGTGACGGGGGTCGCCGTCACACAAATGTTGAGAACCGCTGCCCTAATGCTTTGAGGGGGAAAAAAGGGAATATTTATTCTTTACAAGAGTATGATGCAATTAATCTCTAAGAAACAGCTGCACATTTTCTGGTACTTAAATGAATGGGCTTTAAATTCCCCACTTTGAGGGCAGGGTCAAAACATGATTTATTAATTAGAAATAGTATCTGCTGCCCTTCCACTAAGATCAATAAAGCAATGTACATGTCACAGCATAAGCATACTATTTTTAACAAGAGAAACGTCGATTGTCAAATTATCTTTAAAACATCAAGATTCCTTTAAAGCCATTTTGTAGTGTTTTAATGGGCAGCCGGTCTTTTGAGTTTGCCAAGAATAAAATAACTACAACATAATAACGCATCGGCTATTTTCAGAAACTTTTGCTGGGAGGGAAGGCGTATCTACTGTTCGCAGACAACCCGCCTCATCTCAGGAGGGAGGGGCTGATTCCAGACGTCTCCTCCCCCATTGAGGAAGGAGGAAAAAGGAGAAAAAGGAAGAGTTCTGGCTTTTCGTGACCCAGTTAAGATAAAACCTCTGCTCGGATTTCAGACACTTGGTTAACGAGTACGGAAGGAGTCGCCTCCGCAGCCTAGAGAAGCGCTCTCGCCTCGCGGTAGTTTGTTTTCTGCATTCCTCGGCCTTTCTGAGAAGAAAAGAACAAGACTTTCTGCTTGCAGCTGCAGCAGCCGTAGAACCGGAGTCATGGTGAGGGACTTATAAAGAGCGCGCGTGTGGTACCTGGCGCGTTCTGAGGACAATGCAATTAGAAGGCCACCGTGATGTTTAATTAATCACTGATGCGACAAGGTTTTGAGAATGAACGGGAAAGCAAATCTTGCCTTTACATCCAGGTTTCGGCTGGATGTCCGCTAGTAGGGTTGACCGGGAAAACTAGGGCAAGGCTGATGTGGAATGGAATATATACTGGGATAATGGCGGTTCATTCTTCCCCAAACCAGCACGCTATAGTTCAGGGGTCTTCAAACTTGGCCCTTTTATGACTTGCAGACATGCTGGCTGAGGAATTCTGGGAGTTGAAGTCCACAAGTCATAAAAGCTCCAAGTTTGAAGACCCCTGCTATAGTTCATAGATCCCGAGGATCACTGGATGACCGCAGGTGGTGTTAGACTTTTCCAAACCTCTTCTTTGCTGTCGTTTAACTGCTGTGCAGCTCAAATATGGCAATGTAAATTATGAGAGTTGTATTACAGCATATCAGGAGGCATCAAGTAGGATGTATCAATTGCACGATCAGATTCATTTGGCAAGAGTCAAGATTTGCTCTCAGTAAAGTGTACGGGTAGGCAATTGTCCAAACCATAGCTTACTTCAATTTGTTTGAGTTTGCACAAGTCACAGCTACAAATTAAACAGCTATATTTTAGCTTAGTTGATTGTGTGATTTAGATTTTAGTGCTTCAGTGAATTGTCTGCCCAGAAAAATAGACTGATTATAGTAAATGAATTAAACTAAAAGTGAGTTTGATATAGTAACTAAAAAGTTAAATTAATATTCTATTCTGTCCTCAATCTAGGTGGGACTCTTTCTCTCAGCCCAATCTACATTACAGGTTGTTGTACTGTTAGAAAATAGTGTTGTTAACCGCCATGCACTCCTGAACAAAAAGCCATTATCTTTATTATTTATATATTTTGTAGGATTCATTCATGTTACTGAATAATATGATCTTTAAAATAACCCCATAAGTTAGGTCAGTATTTTATTGCCCCTCCATTGCAAATAGAGGCCTGAAGCTGAGTGATCTGAGTAGATTTAATGGTAAATGGTTTTGGGGTGTAATTATGGAGATTTGGGAAAGCAATACAAAAAACTAAACTTTTCTTTATATACTACAGATGTGATAGTGCAGAACTGAAAAAAAAATGATTTGGGTATTTGTGATATGATTATTTGAGACTTTACAGTATTTAAGAAATTGGGAGATTATAGGCTGGGAATGTAGACCTGACAGGTTAGAGCAGTGGTTCTCAAACTTTTTAATGCTGCGACCCCCCAACCGGTCATAAGCCGAGGACTACTCAACCGGTCGTTGTCGAGGACTTTCCCTGCCAGGGAGCGCCACGCATGCATGATGCCGCCCCCTGCGCCGGCTGAGGCGTAGCTGGCAAGGGGCAGCGACAGCGCAGAGCAACCACCGGCTGCGCCACCAGCTGGCCCAGCCCAAGGGAGGTAAGGCACCCGCCGTGCCCCATGCGCACCAGCAACACTCTCTGCACCCGCCGGCCTCCCACCTCCCACCCCTGGCCCTCTTTTACTTACATTTTTAGTAGTTGCTCAGCAGGGAGGGGTGGAAACTTCCAGACAGCTCGCCTTTGCTGCAGATAACTTGCAGCACCATTTGCAGAATGGGACATTTGGCGGGCTCAGCAGGGCAGAGACAGCCTGGATAATTCCTATTGGTTTTTGAAAGCCAGTAGAATTAGACTCTATTTAAGAGAGTCTATTCTATTGGCTTTCAAAAGCCAATAGAATAAAAGGGAGTAGCACAGCTAAGGAAAAGGGAAAAAAATGGCGTACTGCGTTGTTTGGCGACCCCTGTGAAATGGTTGTTCGACCCTAAATGGGGTCACGACCACAGGTTGAAAACTGCTGGGTTAGAGAAATAAGGAGAGCAAACAGGTTTTATTTATATTTTATTTATTTATAGAAAAAATTCTGCTATTTTACAATTTATAATATCAGGCATGGGAACAGAGAACTTTCCATTCACAAGAATATTTTCCTTATGCTGCCTTTTATTACCTGAACTTTCTGGTGGGTTTCATAGGCAACCTTCTCACTGAACCTAATTCTTCTAGTTTACAATCTCTATATAAAGCTACCTGCCTTGATTTTTTTTATTTATATAAGCCAGACATGTCAAACACAAGGCCTGGGGGCCAGATGCGGCCCGCAAAGTGGTTTCATTGGCTCGCGAAGCCATCCTGGAAACAGCGAGGGAATGGTCCCCGCTGCCTTGGCCCTGGCCCAGGCCGGCTGGGAGCAATGTAAAATTTTGGGGTGGCCATCTATGCTGAAACATATTCAGTCTTAGCTCCACAAGGCCACCTAGAAACAGCAAGGAACCAGTCCTTGCTGTGTTGGCCCCGCCCCCTGGGTGCATGCTGGGGAGGTGTCACCTTTGTGAGGAATGAAGAAATGCACCATGCCTTGGCGCTTGCCCCAGTTCCACCCCCTTCTGCCAGAGGCCCTCCTGCTGCCCCCAAAGCAGTTTGGGCAGGCGCCGGGAGGAAGAGGGGTGCCTGGGGGGGAGCAGCCGGGCTAGCGGAGGGGCTGGCAGGCCATGTGGCACCAGCCCCCACCGCAGCTCCATCGATGGACGGAGGATGAGGCCTGGGGGCGGTGGGGACCCCCGATGATGCAGCAGTGGCTGCCACTGCCACCGCCTTCCGTCTTGCTCCCCCTCCCCGCCTGTTCAGCTGAGGACGCGGCAGAGGCTGGGCCGAGAGTGGCGGGAACCCCCGACGATGCTGCCGTAAGAGAGAGAGAGAAAGAGAGGAAAAGAGAGGAAAGAGAGAGAGAAAGAGAAAGAGGGGAAAGAGAGAAAAAGAGAAAGGGAGGAAACAGAAAGAGAGAAAGAAAGAGAAGAAAGAAAGAGAAAGAGAAGAAAGAGAAAAAGGAAGGAGAGAGAAAGAAACGGGGAGAGGAAAGAAAAAGAGGAAAGTAAGAGAGAGGAAAGAGAAAGAAGAGAGAGAAAGGAAAGAGAGAGAAAGAGAGGAAAGAGAAAGAGAGGAAAGAGAGAAAGAGAAAGGGAGGAAAGAGAGAGAGAAGAGAGAGAGGAAAGAGAAAGAGGAAAGAAAGAGAGAAAGAGAGGAAAGAAAGAGAGGAAGAGGGAGAGGAATGTCGCTTCTCCAACTAGGCTGGGCGGAGCCAGCGGAGTGACCTTCCTGCTCCCCTTCCCCGGCCAGCTGGATGGGGGGTTGGGGGTCACCACAACATAAGGAACTGTATTAAAGGGTCGCGGCATTAGGAAGCTTGAGAACCACTGTCTTAGTGGTTAGCCTCTGGATTAAAGTGATTTATTATTCTTTGCTCTCTTCCATATTCACACATAAAGCTTTACAAAGCAACCTATACTTGGAAGATGTTGGGGAAAATACTTGACTGTCATCATACTTCCAAAGGAAATTGTGCAAAAAGAAAATTGAGAAAATTTTCTCTCATACCAACAGCGACTAATTTTCAGTCAGACCAACATTTTTAGCAAACGTATTGGAGTTTGTAAAGGGAGGGCTAGACATTTACGTTTATTTTAATTATGTGAAAGAAGCCAAATTGGCTTATTTTTGCTATTCCAGACGTACCATAATTTAGAATATGAACATTGACAGAGTAATAGTGTTTGCATTCTCTTACCTATACTAATTAGCTATAGGGAGCTATCTTTATTGCACGGTGTTCCTGCTTTTTCAGCATTTCAAATTGGTCACAAGTGATGATAATCTTATGCCAAATTTCAAAATGAAAGGACTGAGAATAGAAACATGTGGAAATTTCCTTGTTTTGCTGTTTTTACCTCTTCTTGCATGCATCTTAATTGTGGACTTATTTTTATATACATTTTATGTTATTTTTTTATCAACTGTAAAAATTGTATTTGTGTGCCAAAATATAATTAAGTGCTTTGCATACTATACTATATCTATCTCAAGGTACCTGAGTTGCAGAAAATAACTGTCCGGATGAAGAATCCTGAACGTGTAAAAAGTATAGTTTCAGCACTCAGGAAAGGTGGAGCAGCAAGACTCCAGGTGTGTGACTCTTTTTATAATCTTAGTTTCTTTCCCATCTCTTTTCAGGATATGTGTTTATTCCAACAATTTTATCAGCATATAACAATGATAGGCAGGACTGGGACAAAATTAAATGTAACTTAAAATGAATTGCAGTTAATATAACATGCTTCACATTAAGTATTTCTCTCCATCTCATTAATAATTACAATTCAACCCCAACTGGGATTGAATGTTGCATCAAAGCTTTTGGAAAATATGTTGTAAACCCCTTGATTTAGAGACCTAATTGTTAAGTGGCTCTGAACTATGATGTTGTAGGATGCCACCTAAACACAGTATTCCTTGGCAAATTACTAAATCTCCTTTTCTGTTCAATCCAGGTCATTTCTGATTTTGACATGACTCTTACTCGGTTTGGCTTCAATGGGAAGCGCTGTCCTACTTCGCATAGTGAGTGTAATTTCTGGACTTTTTAAATTGTCACTTCCCTTTTGAAAAAAATATTGTTCTCCTTGATGATTTTCTTTCTTGTTTCTCATATTTTTATCCTCATTCTCATTCTTTACAACGTGGCTTGTAAAAGCTTCTCAGATTATTTTTTCTTAATGTTTTTCTTCCTATTGCTCCTGGTCTTTAGGCCACTTTTAAGTGAGTCATTGATACACTGTATTTGTGGGTATATTCAAATGATATATTAAACCCCAATCTAATTATAATTTGGATAATCTAAGATAATTATAACCAGGCTAATCCAGGTTTTACTTTTGATCACTGAAATAGTACTTTATTTTATAGATGCATAAATATTTTTTAAACCACGGTGGCCTTATTGGAGTCAAAGGCACTTAGGACAGACAGGGTGAGACTAAGCCTTGTCCAAGCTATTTTGTACCCCCATATAATATAGGTTTGGAGTGTGAAAAAGAAGAGATCATGTGATCCCTTAGGGATTCCAGTCCCTTTCTTGCCTATTTCTAAGCCGGAAGGAGGATTTCCCTCAGAGAATTTCCTTTGCCCGTCTGAGTTGAAATAATATTTTGAAATTTTTAGCTTAATGAATTTAATGACAAATTACATTTTAAAATTGTGACTAAGGCACTTTTTCTTAACCAGGATGTAATTCTTGATTCATAGAACATATTCAATTTAATATAATCTAATTGTTGTTTCAGTGTAATCTAAATAGTTATGATTTAAAAATTTCATGAATAATAGGTGTTGGAAGTCATGATTTCACGAAGTGAGAAGCATTACTATCAGTAAGGAAAATAATAAGCTGTTAGGCAACTTTGCATATATAAATAATTTACACAGGTCTAAAGTACTACTCTCTGGCACTCTTGTCTTGAAAACTCATTGTTTTCAAGCAGGAAGCATACACAATTTTCATATTTATTTTTACAGGCTCAGAAACTAAAAACTTATCTTTTAATAAACATAATTATAGTTTTTAAACATTCAGTTGTATTTTTTAAAAGTTACTAAATTTTGTGCTCAATTTAAAATTCTGATTTTGCATAGTATAACAAAATACACATAGCCACATACATGTTATGATTCATCTGCATTAATCCTTTTTATTTGAAAACTCAGAACATGCTTTTAAAACACAGTATGTTCAAAATAAATTTAGACTCAGCATTATTGTGCATAAGAGTTTCTAGAAATCTGCTTGTATCTCTTCAGATATCATAGATAACTGCCGGGTCATCAGTGAAGAAGGCAGAAAAAAGGTATGAGCTTCTAGGAATTCTTTAGCAAATATCCGAATTAAAATCCAAACTGATATTCACATTTCATGTCATGCTTTCAGGAACCCTAGGAATTAAAATTTTGTGACCTTTTAGGCTTTTTAGCTAAGAAAAGTATTTCACTGTTTTAATGCATGAGGCTTTCTTTGAAGATTGGAAACTTCAAGTATTAAGAATTCAATTGCTGAAAGAATATCCTGGGAGCAGTTCATTTTCTTTCCGTTTTCGTACCAAGTTTGGAAAGTGCTGGTTTTTTAAAGCTTCAGTGAATTTGGAACCAGTTGATGTGAAGGTGACTGCTGATACTTATGAGAGTCATCATGCAACTTGAAAACAGCTTTGGAGATTCCAGTTTTGCCTGCTAGTAAATGTTATTAAAATGGAAAGTGCCAGAAATTAAGCCTTTCCAGCAGTAGCCAATTTATTGACATTATCTAATGTTCCATGTAATTACATACAGGAGAGAAAGGTAACAAACTCTAGTGTTCCAATTTTAAAACTCATAATTCAGTGCTACTTATCAGCTTTGAAAATCTGTTTTTTCTTTGAACAAATATGTTGATTTTGCCCCAATATTCCAGCTGAAAGATTTACTTCATCATTACTATCCTATTGAAATTGATCCTTATCAGACTATGGAGGACAAACTGCCCCTCATGATAGAATGGTGAGTATTGTACCAAAGATTATTCTGTTTGATGTCTCAAAACAATTTGCAGGCTGAGTTTTTAGTTGCTTAGAAGGTGGGTAAACTTTCCCCTAATTGTTTTAATTAGCTCAGCTGACAAGACCTCTTGACACTGATATTTTCCAGGTGGACTAAAGCTCATAACCTCCTATCTCAGGAAAAGATTCTGAAGAATGATATTGCCCAAATAGTGAAAGAATCAGATGTTAAACTCAGGTATGAAAGTTGCATGTTGGATACTATTCAAGAAAGAGTTATAAGGAATAATAATAATAGTAATAGTAATAATAATAATAGTAATATCAATTATTACTTGGTATCAAATATTCCCCATTTACGTGAAGATGGAATTCTGTACCACACTTAGAATATAGCATCAAGATTTGGTCATCACGATGTAAAAAAGATGCTGAGACTCTAGAAAGAGTACAGAGAAGAGCAACAAAGATGATTAGGGGACTGGAAGCTAAAACATATAAGGAACGGTTACTGGAATTGAGAATGTCTAATCTAATGAAGAGAAGGACGAGGGGGGACATGATAGCAGGGGCTGCCACAAAGAAGAGGGAGTCAAGCTATTCTCCAAAGCGCCTGAAGGCAGGATAAGAAGCAACAGATGGAAACTAATCAAGGAGAGAAGCGACCTAGAACTAAGGAGAAACTTCCTGACAGTTAGAACAATTAACCAATAAAACAATCTGCCTCCAGAAGCAGTGAATGCTCCAACACTGGAAGTTTTTAAGAAGAAACTGGACAGTCATTTGTCCAAAATGATATAGGGTTTCCTGCCTGAGCAAGGGGTTGGATTCGATGACCTCCAAGGTCCCTTCCATCATCATCATCATCATCATCATCATTATTATTATTATGAATTAAATATAAAAACTGGCCCAAAGCTTTAAGGTTAATATTGCACACTTAATAGTGCTTATTGTCTGCATGTTCTTTTTCACCCAAATCTGTTGGTACACAATTGTGTCAACTTGATTAGAGTCAGTAACTTTATGGTACCAGAAACCATAAAGAAGGGAGAAGTAAATGGGGATTGGAATGTTTTTCAGTTACAGAAGCAGAATGTCAGAAATAGTCATAATAGTATGTGCTGTTTGAGGTTTTGGAGCTCTTCACATGCATTTATTTTAATAATTCTATTAGTAAATGTATAATAAAGTTCACCTTTATTTTCCTGAGATGATAAACTGAAGAGGCCATTATATGAAGAAGCCATTGGCTATTCTAATAGCCCCTTCACATGATGAATACTGGTGATGCAGAAATAATTAAATGCATATTTCAATGAAACATGCCACATTTAGCCAAAGATCTTGGGCTGGTACAGGAAATCCTTATTATTAGATTTTTATCCTGTCTTTAATACTTTAATAGGTAACTAAAGGCAGCAAACATACCAATATTCCTCTTTCCTCCTATTTCCCCCAAAACAACCACCATATGAGGGGGGTTGGGCTGAGAGAAAATGACTAGCCTAAAATCAGCCAACCAGCATTCATGCTCAAGATATGGCTAGAACTTAGAGTCTCCTGGTCTCTATGCCAACATGTTTATCACTAGGTCAAATTGGCTCTTATTCCCAAAATTGGGACTGGAACATCTACCACCAAGCAATATAGTGAGTCACACCCAGTTTATCTTTTTTACTGTTATCAATAAGCTAATCATTGTGGTTGTTAACCAGATTCAGCTTCTCCCATTCACATTGCTTGTTGGAAGCCCTCTGGGAAAGTTGCAAATGGCGAACATAGGACCCCAGGGCTGCAACTGTCATAAATATACATTGGTTGCCAAGTACCTGGATTTTGAAGCCATGATTGCCAAAATACTATGATGGTTATAAATATGAGGACCATTTGTAAGTCATTTTTTCATGCTGTCATAACTTTGAATACTCACTAAACAAATTGTTGGAAGTTGAGAACTATCTATAACAAGGTATCCAACCCAGCAGGAACTCACATGTCAAGAAAAGGATTTGCTACCATCTGATGTTTATGTGTATGCGTTTTCAGTTGATAGAACTTTAAGCCATTGTTTAAATCATCCACCCAAAGTGTATTTTTAAATAAAATTATAAACTTGATATTTCATACTAAGCAATACGTTTATTCACTGGAACTATTGCATTTAAGTACACATGTGCTATCTGGAAAGCTATACTTTGTATAAATACAGATTTGACAATTTTGTATATTTTAGGATATAACTTGCTATTAGCTTTTGTCTTTTTCAATCTGACTATCCTTACTTGTTCCAAGAAACTGATAAGTGAGTGGATAAGTTCACTGTTTACTGTTGATAATATAAAAAGGGCATTTTTTTCTGTCAGGACTTGTGTGCTTCAAGAAATCATTGCCTTTTTGAGCTAATGTATTAGAAACATTGGGACTTTGCCAATGCCCTTTAAATATAAATGCCCACATTTTTCAACATTAACCTAATGTTTCCTTTCTCTTCTTTGCACTTAGAGATGGCTTCAACATTTTTTTTGACCAGCTGCATGAGAACAAAGTTCCCCTGTTCATCTTTTCAGCAGGTGTAGGTGATGTGTTAGAGGAAATAATTCATCAGGCTGGTGTATTCCACCCTAACATCAATGTGGTTTCCAACTATATGGACTTTGATGACAATGTGAGTTGAATCATCTCTTTTTACCCACCTTATCTCCTCTGACCTGGAAGCATTCCAAGGATTCTGCCATTTTGCCCTGATGGGAGTATCTTCAAAAAGCTTCTTGTGGAATCAGAGGTGTTAGGGGGCAATAAATGAAAAACTCCCAGGCTTTGCCACAATGTATAGAATTTTGAATGCTGCAGTTACAATGAATATCTTAGGGATCTGGATAATGTTTTTCAAAGTGATAAAAACTTGGGTTTTCACACTTACATTTTCACACTTAGCAACCATTGCAATATCTCCATGGCCATGTGATCAAAATTCAGACTCTTAGCAACTGACTCATATTTATTATGGTTGCAATGTCCCTGTATCACATTGTCACTTTTTTCAACCTTCTGATAAGCAAAGTCAAAGGGAAAATCAGATTCACTTAACAACTGTGTTACTATCTTAGCAACTGCAGTGATTCAGTTAACACTGGAGGCAAAAAAGATTTTAAAATGGAGCAAAACTCAATTGTCTCTCTTGGCAACCAATTTTGAACTCAGTTGTGATCATAAGTTGAGGACTATCTATATCTACAAAAAGTATGTTACGTTCTTTTCAAACTCAGTATCCTTGAGATTGTTCAGTTTAGTAGAAACATTTCTAAACTATATTAAGAATGCTGTTTTATGGAGATAGGTTTAATTTCTATGGACACTATTGCTTGGGTTTTTTTCCTCAGCTTTTAGTTAAAATTAATTTTGCTTCCTATAATTTTGCTTCCTATCTGGCTGCTTCAGTTCTTCGGGATGTTTTTAATCAATATGGTTTAAGAAAATTATTAATAAAATCCATTTTTAAAATAAAGAGCCTTTGCTGCTTAGGCTTTGAAAACATAAGAAGTGTTCTCAAGCAGTGGATTTTGGACACAAACCTTCATTTTAACCTATGACTGCTGTTTAATCTTATAATTTGGAAGATTATTCTTAAGAGACTTGTGCCAGTTTCCAATTTATCATCTTTCCAATACCAAAGTTTCATACTCTTATGGGTGTGCACGTCCACAGAATGCCTTCTAAGGTGCCTTTTGCCATTTTTATGTTATAAACCCATTATGTTTGCCTTTGAAGGGTGTTCTGCAAGGTTTCAAAGATCCTCTTATCCACATCTATAACAAGAACAACACAGTCCTGAAGAACACAGAGTATTTCCAGCAACTGTGTAAAAGAACAAATATCTTACTGCTTGGAGATTCCATGGGTGACCTCAGTATGGCAGATGGTGTTGCTGACATGGAGAATATCCTCCGGATTGGCTTCCTGAATGATAGGGTGAGTTGAGAGTATCTAGATGGCTAGAACAGTGAAAGCCCTGTCTGGAAGCAAAATAAGGCACCTATTTCAAGAAGAAGAGTTTGGATGCCATACAAGATGGTTCACTTGGGAGAGGTATAGCAAATTTCATTAGGAAGTAAGAGCTGTTTTTATCTTGTGTGTTTAATGTTGTTCCTGCCTTGTCTTTTCTAGCCTTATGAATAAATAGGTTCTTCCTGAAGGGAAGTAATGTGAAGGAGTAGCAGAATCAATCTTCTCTAGGTCTCTAAGCTTTAATTTTATCTATCAGGTGATATAAGAGCTGACTTGAAAAATTTTATTAGCAGTAGAAATTAACAGAAGAAATAGCTAGATTTATTAGCTAATTGTGGTTTTTGATTATTAGAACGACCACAGTGATGCATAATGTCTGTCAGCTTTTATGTTCTTTAGAACTCTTCATCAGACAAGCTCTTACCAAAGAAAGTGGGGATGAGAAAGAAACAAGATAGCTCAAAAGTTAGGCTAGGTATTATAACCATGAGGTAATTCTTCCAATTCAGTCTTGAGGTGGAATTTTTAGCCTTTTATCAATACTGGGTTTCTTGTGGCATTCCATACACAGAAACTGTTCCATCATAGTATTAGTATCTATAGAAACCACAGACTGCAGGTTTGTTGAGATTAGTACTGTAATTGCTACTTATACTTTGTCCCATGCAGGTGGAAGAACGGCGGGAGAAATACATTGAGGCTTATGATATTGTACTGGAGAAAGATGAAACATTGGATGTGGTAAATGGTATTTTACACTTCATCCTTGCCCAAACTCTATATACGCTTCCTTAACTGTTGACAGCTAGTTTCCTTTTGGAATATTCTCCTCAGTGTTCTTTAACATTGCCATAATCATAGACTTAATCAGGGCCCAGCTAGCATTAATCTTGTTTTTACATCTACTATACTGCTAATTAAAATGGCATCAAATTTGTACCAAGATATCTACTAATTTAGCAGACAATTTTCTGTTGGCCAAATTGCAACAGAATCAGGACTCATTTGACTAATTAAATACTCTTAAAAGAACAATATGGGAGTAATATTATGGATTAGACTTGTCTATTTTTACCGTTTCCTAAAATAGAAAATAATGGTAATAATATGGTGCAATCCACTTTTAAGATACATTGCAATTATTGAAATAATTTTGCTGTGGGAAACCAATTTGGTATTATTGGTGATGCTATTTTAATGCAGATGACTTGTGGAATGTGGGTTTGAAGGGCTTTCTGGGTGAGTAGCTTTGTTTTCTATATATTTGGGCATGTTCTAAATTGGATGTGTGAGTGAATTTAGATGCCAGATGTAATGTAAAGTATTTTTAAAATAAGGTTAATACATATTAGCCCCAAAAATTATTGAGCTTTTTCCAATGAAAATTAATGTGTAACGAATAAGTTTAACTCTGATATTAAAAAGTGTGCATAAATTAAGGATTTTTGTTTGACTTGTATGCAATTGTTGGATTTCAGATGTTCTGTATTTTGTTTTCATGAAACATTTATTTTCCAAAATGTTTTTGAACTATATATGGACAAATCCAGCTTTTCCATAAAATTTTCAACATTTTTTATTTAAAAGACATGTAAATATAATAAAACAATTGTCTTATTTTGAACATTTTGGTATGCCTATTTTGTTTTATCTGCTTTAATTGAACCAATTTTTTAAAAGTTACCACAGTACCACTGACTTCAACATACTACAATTTTTAAAAACCAGTTGTAATTTAAAAAAAAAACTATTCAGACTTTTGTAAGTCCAAAGGCACATACTTTAGTATTGATTTCACTGATTTCAATCCTTAATATTATGGCTTATTCAAAAGAATTCTGGATACTGTAAATTCCTGGATGTTCTGTTCAGTAAAACAGAATGAGTCCTAGACTACTTTTAGATGGGTGAAGCACAAAATACATTTTAATTTTGTACCCTCTATATGATGATAAATATTTGTTCGACTTAAGGGCCTTCAAAAGATGTGACTGCTATGTTATGACTATCTTTCTTGAATGACTTGATGTATAATTTGAAGTGCATGGGAAAAAATCCGTTACTTAGATAGAAAAAGGCATAAGAATTGAAATTCATGTATTTTTATAAGACATCAACTTGGAGAAATTGTGGGTGCCAATGCATCTTGTGTACGAAGACTACAACTAGGACTTGCGTGTTCTAGCTTTCAGAAAAAAACATTTTACATAATTATAAGTGCCCTGTACTTACAATTGCTTGTTGCTCAAAAGTAACAATTTCATGTTGCTTTCAAGAATTTTAATGATTCAGTTGAAACATGTAACTCAGAATCTCACATGGATATGCACAGGTTTTCCTAACTTACTTTAGCCTTTCTATTAGTACTTTTTATTATTCAGCTCTACTGGCGGCTGGAGTGAGGTTAAACATGTGTGCTGATGTAACTATCTGATTTCAAATTAAGACTTAACATCCTCTTGACTGACAGTCACGGATGTTAACAGTCCAATATTGTCAATAATGTCCCTTGCCTGCCATAAAGATACATTATTTGTACCAGCCAGTTTTTTTATGGTGAACTAGTTGCTTCAAGAATTTTAACAGTTAAAGGGTTTTAATTTTATCAGTTAATCATAGATCCCCATTAGAGAAAAATGCAACCAAAGCTGATTTAAGGAAAGTAAATTATGGTCATGCTCGTCTGGATTTTTAAGATTGGTATTGATCCAACAGCCCTGTACTTTAACAACAGTTGCAGAAATTCAAAGGTAAAGTCATGAAAAAGGCTGAACCAATTAAATCCTCTAAGCATTGTGCAGGAATCCATTTTTAAAAAATGCTTATTCTAACTTATACCAAAAAGACAAAAATTAATTTGGGTTCTTTTTGCCTTAAAAACCTAAACATAGTGGTGAATACAGAGAGACCTGATACTGTTTATTGGCTCCAATAAGCCAGTCTGGGTTTCCTGATAGTGAATTCAACCTTGATTTGGACAGTTGAATGCACAGATCCCAAGCAGAATATCTGGTTTAATGTCATGATATATGGGCAAGACAACTGCTGTAATCGGGAAATAAGCAGAATGCAATTAAGATGGGAGAATTGGTCTCAGGAAAGGATATGTAACCAGTGAATTGGGAGATTTATCATCATTCATTTAGCCCACTGGGTTTTGTTTCTCATTTAACTCATTTCCAATAATATACAGTCAAAGCAAAAACAAATGAGGAAAAAAACTTATTGGCTTCCTATATCCAGTCTAACATTGGAAGTGTTTGAAGGCCAATTTTCTCCCCCAAACAGGGAAAGGACCACCAAATGGGAATGTTTTTAAAAAGGGGATTCTTTATAATTCAAAGTTCCTCATGTTTAACTTGATCCTCATCTGACTTCAGCTTCAGTTCCTCTGCTGTGATCTTCCCATCTTTATTCCGGTCTTGATTCTGAAACATGTCTGTGATTACTTTTTCCGGGTCAATCCCTGGAATCATATGTCCTTTGTCTTCTGCAATCTGGGACTTAATGAATGTGGAAAACTGCAGAATGGACATAGAAAAAAAACAATAATAGGTCCATTATTTCTAAAAGTGGGTCCTCTAGATGTGAAGCATTTCAAACAAAGTGATTTATTTCTGGCAATAATGCAGCTAGGATGAAATAATCCATTTAATTAGTTATTGATTTTACTGTATATACTGACTACTGAATACCCTAATATATTTTTCCCTCAATGTAGACTTAATAACAATTCAGCTCAAGTATTTATAGAAACTAGGTAACATTTTAAGAGCTCCATCTCATATCAGGAAATGCCCCAACTATATGCATTTTCTACAAACAAAATCTTGTTGCTTTCTTTAGACCTTTCTTTTTTGCCATATGCATTCAATGGGCTAGATAATAAGAATCAATCTAATTATCCTTCCAGTTCTAAATCCTTTACCAGCTGTTTTCTTTCTAAAACAGAACACAGTCTCACCTCCTCTGATGGGACTTCACCATTCTTATTCAGATCCATGGCTTCAAACAGGTTTTGGGGTGGCTCACCATGCCAAATGAACAAATAGCCTTCTGGAACACCGACTTCCAGGTGTAAAAGTTGTATGTCAAAGCGAAGAACAGCACTTCCAGGTACACCGCGGGCTCAAAGAAAAAGATTAACATCTCAGTACAAGTGATCCTCAATTTATAACCATTTGAAGCTACAGTAGCACTGAAAAAGTGACTTATGACCATGTCAATGAAGATTCTCACTTCCAGATGACTTATGACCAGTTTTCATACAACTTGCAGCATCCCCATGGTCACGTGATCAAAATTCAGGCACTTGGCAACTGGCATATATTTATCACAGTTGCACTGTCCCAGGATCATGTGATTACCATTTGTAACCTTCCCAGCTGACTTTCAACAAGCAAAGTCACTAAGGGAAGCTGGATTTACTTAACAACCATGTGATTCACTTTAACAACTCCAGTGATTCACTTGACTGGTAAAAAGGTCATGGAATGGGGCAAAACTCATTTAACAACTGCCTTGTTTAGCAACAGAAATTTTGGGCTCATTGTGGTCATAAGTTGATAGCTATCTATAATGCAGAAATCTAGTTTCCAGGCATGCACAAAATGTTATAGGCAGCAGTAACAGTGACCTGATTCATACCTTAATTTGGCTATTGTGGGCTTAACTATGGTTTACTAAATAAACCAATATGTATAATCCTGTATTCATGCAGCACACTAAACTTAACCTCCCAAAGAATCACATTATGCCTTAGTGTGACATGCAAATTAGGGTCTGTGAGTCAAAGGCAAGGGAAATATTTATTCTAATAAATGGTCTCTTTAAATTATATTAGAGATTACAACAATTATTTCTAAGAATTTAAGTCTCTTGATAGAATCAATACATCGTTTCTACGGTCATTCTGTTACTGGGCTATCTAGCACAATCCCACAAGCATACAGCAACAAAGATGATTAGGGGAATGGAGGTTAAAGCATATAAGGAACGGCTGCTGGAATTGGGTATGTCTAGTTTAATGAAGAGAAAGACGAGGGGGGACATGATAGCAGTGTTCCAATACCTCAGGTGCTGCCACAAAGAAGAGGGAGTCAAGCTATTTTCCAAAGCGCCTGAAGGCAGGACAAGAAGCAATGGATGGAAACTAATCAAGGAGAGAAGCAACCTAGAACTAAGGAGAAACTTCCTGACAGAACAATTAACCAGTGGAGCAACCTGCCTCCAGAAGCAATAAATGCTCCAACACTGGAAATTTTTTAAAAAGAGACTGGACAGTCATTTGTCCAAAATGGTATAGGGTTTCCTGCCTGAGCAGGGAGATGGACTAGATGATCTCCAAGGTCCCTTCCATCATTATTATTATAGATCATCGCACAGTCAGCCAGATGTTCAGACTGGATTTGGCATTTTGTCTACCTATCGAGTCCTTACCCAGGACCTGGGATAGACAGATGTGGATGTTTGATCGTATTACAGATATCGTCGCAGGATGGAAGCAGTTCCTAGTAAGGCTGCCTTTTGCAATTGACTAATAGCGAATTTGTCAATGCCAATGGTGTTCAAGTGGTGTTCAATCACTGTGTATCTGCGACGGGTAAACACCTTTTCTTCCAGTAGTTCTGCAGCTGCTGGCCCTGGTTGCTCAGCCAATAGTCCTGAGTCCTGTAACCCATTTTTCACCAGATATCCAGGAACTCCAATATCTAGCGCAGACCTTGTTAACCCGGGCGACATCCGAGCCGGTCTGGCATTCTGAAATTTACGTCTCACCATATTTTTTATGGGAGAGACACTCTTTGTCTGACTCCTCTGATGAGACCTGTCCAGTATGGTTGACCCTCTGGCATAGCTCTCATCTTCCTCAGAGTTGTTGTTGTTGTTTTGTTGTTGTTATTATTATTATTATCATTATCTTTTTCTAAGTGAAAAATAACATCAGTGATACTCTTGGTTTTGTTTTCCTCACTAAGACTAGCTCAGCTCTGCCAGCGTTAGGTTCACTAGATAGCCTTAGTTCTTGCTAGTACTAGATAGCCTTAGATCAGTGGTTCTCAACCTTTCTAATGCCGCGACCCCATAATACAGTTCCCCATGTTGTGGTGACCCCCAACCACTTATACATCACCAGGTGCCAGGGGCGTGGCCAAAGAAAAGGGGGAAAAAATGGCGGACAGCCTTGGTTGGCGACCCCCGTGAAATGGTCGTTCGACCTACAGGTTGAGAACCACTGCCTTAGATCCATCAGCATTAGCTTTGCTAGTGTTAGCTTTTTCACTAACACTAAATGCCTTAGCTCCACGCACGTCAGCTTTGTTAGTGAAACTAAAACTCGTAAAGCTAAGGCCAGTGATGAGAAGAAATCCTCCCAGTTTTCTATTTCTTGCTAGATGCTAGCCTTAGCTGTGCCAGCATTAGTGGTTCATTTGATAGCCTTCTGACTTCCCACCTAATATGTAGGCTCCATAACTCAAAGACTACCTGTATCACCTTACACACACACACACACACACACACACAGAGAGAGAGAGAGAGAGAGAGAGAGGGAGAGAGAGAGAGAGAGAGAGACAGAGATCAACTTTTTCAATAATGATATCTAGAAGAGAGGGAGGAAGGGACACAGGAAGGGATTCAGGATTCATCCAATATTTATTTTTCTATTTCTTCTGCTCAACTTGTATAATTGAAAGATAATCTGAAATGTTTCCTAAGAAGTTGCCTTACCACCACTTTCACCATGCCCCAAATGCGGAGGAACAATGACGGTCCTCTTCTCTCCCACACACATGCTGAGTAGGCCACTGTTCAAGCCTTCAATTATCTTATTGGTACCCAGGGTAGCTTCTTGAGGATGTTCATAGTCGTGCCTGTTAGTGGGAAACAAGCCATTGAGTCCTCTTGAAAATACTTTCTTGGATTTTCAGAATAACGTGTTGCATCCCTTATTAGCTCTCTAAAGCTTTTCCTGTAGAATTCTAGATTTAAGAAAAATCTAAATTCTGCAACTGTATTGATTATGCAAATTATTGTATCTCTTTATTTAAGCACATAGTATTTTGTCTTAGAAAGGTATCTAAAGCAATGTGGGACACTGACAAAGTTGTGGTGTTCTCAGAAAACATCCCATGAAAGAAATATCTTAAACAACTATTGTAATTTAGAAGTCCCAAAGTTTTCTGGTTTATATAGTGCTTTTCAGATCAGAAGTGTTATGTTTAGTTCGTATAGGTAAAATAAAGGCTATGTTTGTTGGTGTATTTGTTCAATATTTCCATTTTGGGATTTTTGCAGTAGAGACAGGGTAGATATTTAACTGAACTGAACTTGGAGCTAGGAACTCACGAGGAGAAAAGCTTGGTACCATCCAAGAGTGAGCAGTTATAATGATAGCGAACAAAATCTCTATCCTGAGCGGTGACGTTACAATCTGCAGGGCGGAAGATGGTCTCTATCTCTATAGAATCTGTGGGGTTGTGGAAATCAATGACATGGACATCAAATATAAGGACAGCGGAGCCTGGTATCTTGTTCCCTGGAATACAAAAGAATGCAAGAAAGAATGAGGAAGAGGAGAAGAGTATACAACTTGCCTCCAGAAGCGGTGAATGCTCCAACACTGGAAGTTTTTAAGAAGAGACTGGACAGCCATTTGTCCAAAATGTTATAGGGTTTTCTGCCTGAGCAGGGGGTTGGACTAGATGACCTCCAAGGTCCCTTCCAACTTTACTACTATGATGATGATGATGATGATGATGATTATATATGTAGGCCCTCTGTGGAACTTGGCCGACCAAAGATATTTTGCTGCTCTGTTTTCCAGGAACATGGACTCCAAAAAGTTTCAAACAGCACAGGAGATAACATTGTCTATTGATATATTCCCTTTGTTTACATATTATGTTAACCCATTGTTTGTTTTAATTATTGGTTTGTTGAACAAGCTATGATATCAAGGTATACACACCATGTTGAGACACAGTGGTGTAACAAATCAGAGTTGGTACATTCACATACTGCATGAAGGCAGAATCAAGCCCATCACTATGAAATATAAACTCAGCCATTTCTTCTGCTTTTGTTTCACAGTCTAGCCCACTGAATATTGAATTTTGACTTCTGAAAACTTTTTCCATACTACACTATTAAGGAATGCAAAATCTCCTTGGCAGGAATCAAGTAAATTGTAGATACTGGACACTTTCATGTTTTATTCAGGATCTGTTGTATCTCAATGTTGCTCTATTAGATTTAGAAGCCAACCAATGCTTAGCAAAAATTGTTGGTTCCAAGGGAAAGGAAGAGCAGGGCTAACTACCATAAGGGAAAATGAAGTAGCTACCTTAGGAATAGATGTTAGGGTAATTAGACCCTAATTAGCACTGCTTGTTAATATTTCATAGGAGAGCCCGTGTGATATAGCAGATAAGTTGATTAGGAGTTAAAAGGGCATATCTACCCTCTGTCAAAGAAAGTCAGTTGCTTTGGGGCAGTCTCAGTTAAACTTAACTTGCATGGTTTGGAGGTGAAAAATTTAGAGAATAGAGTGCTGTATATGCCACCTTGATATCACAGGGAAAAAGTGTGACTACATTCCAATCAAATCAATGGCCTATTAAAATAACTTGATTAAGATCCATACAGTATAAACAACCTGAATTTACTTCCAGGACAGATAAAATTTGTTCTTTAGAGTGGCACAATACACAGAAATAGAAAAATACTCCAAAATACTGAAAATTTATCTTAACGTTTGCAAGTATAGTTGTATTCCAAATGTCATAATCTTGTACTACAAAAGTCTCAAAGGTGTTTTTTCAAAAGGCAAGGGGACTGCTTTTTTCCTTGAGGAAAAAACTGGGTTTTTTTCCTCAAGGGAGGAAATAGTCCAGTTGCCTTTTGAAAAACCACCTTTGAGATAACTATGGCTGGATGACTGAGAATCTCCACAGACCTAATAGTTCATATGTCTGGACATCCCAGTTAACCATATAGGAATTGAGCCACATAGCTACCTCAAGACATCTTAAAATCTGCACTTCCATATTTATAGAGAATTCTTTGCCAAACTTGAGTGCCTAATTTATATTCATGTTATAATTATATTTTTCAGATACAGATTGCTTTGTCTGATCAGCAAAGGAGAGAATTCCCACAGATCTCTCTAGATGTGTTTGGATTGTACAGCTCATATTGTACAATAGGCATGGAAATTATAAGAGCTTGTCCAACACATTTGGAAGGTAATATCTATTTATACATATAAAAATGTTTATTATAATTACATTAAAGCTTTCTCCAATCTTCTTGCTACCTACCTGCCCCATTTTCTCCATAGGCTAAGTGGGGAGGAATTGTTATTCGTCTTCTTTCACCAATGCAGACCCCTTCTAGTCCTTGATCCATTCCAGGGATGATATAGCCTTTCCCAATGTAAGTGTCGTAAGTATGATTCTGTGAATAACTGGAATTGAAAGAGAAAAGAAATTGTGGGGAAGAACTGGATGGTGCTACAGCAAAACCCATTGCTCACTCCCAGCTAGTCTGCTCAAACTGTCTAAACTAGGGGTAGGCAACCTTGGTTCAGGAATTCTGGGAGTTGAAGTTCACGAGTCATAAAAGAGCCAAGGTTGCCTACCCCTGGTCTAAACTCATTTAAGTAAACCTGGTCTGTATAACGGAAGGAAGATCACAACAAGGAGAACAAATCTGGCTTAAGTAATAAGATAAATATGTGGAAGTCTCTCACTTCCATACAATTATTTTGGATCAAATTCGAATAGTTAGGATTTCAACAATCGGAGGATTTCTACTTCTTGCTCTCCAACTTGTGATGTTTTCCTGTTGTCTGTATTTGGAAAAACCTGCCTGAATAGTTACTTTCTGGCTATACCGACCTTCTGATATACTGATCTGGATTTATGAAGATAAGAAAGGAGCAACCTATAGGACATAAACAAGGGAGCACTTTCTTATTAGCTAAGTGTTTGAATGGCATGGTAAAATCATTCACCAGGATTTTGGTTTAGCAGTTTATGCTGCTCTGATTGCTCTTACTGATACCTATTTGTGGATGACAACAAAATTTGCATACTGTACACATGATACCCAAACAAAGGCTGGCATGAATTAGTCCTTTCAATCTTGCATAATGAAAACATGTTGTTTTATTCAGAATCTATTATATGGGATAGTGATATTTGCATAAGGTTGTGATGTCACCAAATCTTCTGGCACCTGTACCCAATTGCTGTAAAGATTCTATTCTACCAGAAAGGATCAGGAACCCCTTATTCTAGCAAAAGAGGTACAATTCCAGTCATTCTGTCATGTGGCAAAATCCTATTTTGAATATCCAATTTTAAGAAAGCAACTCATGTTGGGTAATGTTCCTTGACACTACTATATAATCTATCACATCTCTATGCAACCTGTGGCTTTCACTGTTTTCTTGCCTGATGATGTATTTTCCAAGGTAAATTTCAATTCTAAGATCTTTTTTTCATTCCTAGCTTGGCAAGTCATCATGACACCTAGCCAACTGCTGATGTCTAAAAGACTGGTTAGAACTCAGATGGAAGCTGAAGATTGCTCCTGCACCCTCTGGAAAGTTCTTACAACCTGTCTTCGGTTCCAAGCCAAGGGTTGATATATTAATGTATTATTGTAATTCTGGTGCTCTTGTTTCTTTGTATTGTTCATAAGATCCTTTTTATTTGGGCTGTCTCTTGGATTTGATATTTTACCTATTTTTCTGGATTTTCCAATTTTGTACGCCACTTAAAGTTCATTGGGGTTGGGGGCTAATACATTTGAATAAATAAAATAAATAAATAAAACATCAAGCTGAAAGAAACCAATCACTTCCATACTATTGCCATAAAGACTGTATGGACATGTAATCATCAGAATTTGAAATTGATTCAGCAGACTATTTTCTTCACCTGGAATCGAAGAGGGTCCCATCCATTAAAGTGCCATTATAATGGTACCGCACAAAATCTCCCGTCACAGCCTTGCGTTTGCATGATGTTGGCACTTCCAAGTACTCCAAGAAGATACTATCTTTTGGATTGTGCAGGTCCATCAAAAGAACATAAAAAACCAAAGATGCTTGCGGGGGGATGACAGTACCTAAGAGAAAGAAAGGAGAAAGGACTCAGCTCAAGCTGGCACAGAAATGAATTGAGTCAGATGTGATAACAATGCTTTTGATAACAACTGGATGATACAGTATGCTGTTTATGTTATTTGTGGATATTCACTCTGGAGGAATACAAAAGATGCTATGTTTGTAAGAATAGATTTTGACATTCATTTTTAAAAAATGCCCAGTTGCAAAGCTTAATTCACTGCAAGTCTCAGTAGCTTGCAGCACCTGGTATAAAAAAAAAAAAAACAAACCCTGAATATATCCCAACACTGCACATAATCCACATATTTCTCCTACCCAGCTGGGAATTCTGAGAGCTGCAGTCCCAAAATAACTGGAGGGTAGAAGGATAGCGATGACTACATAATCCCAAACTACAAAAGAGTTCCATATAAGAGTAGAGCTAACAGCCACAATTCTCACCTTACAAATGTCTATTTTTCCATATAAAGTTTGCAAATGATGGGTGGTGGTTAAATCCAAATTATTTGTGAAATCCAAATGAGTAGATCTGCATTTTTTTGTAGCTCAGGATTTCATAACAAAAGAAGAGGAATAGTTCATCTCTTGGTGAAGAAGAAATACATGAATTTCATGACCAGCTTACCATAGCCTTTCTCTCCATAGGCCAGGAAAGGAGGCATGACTATTTGTCGCTTCTCTCCAGGACACATCCCTAGCAAGCCTTCGTCCATACCTTTGATTAGCCAGCCTGAACCCACATAGGTGTCATAAGTATTGTCTTTTCCATAGCTAGGAAGCAAGAGAGGATGGAGAAAATTTTTTGGGATACTAGGTAGATGAAGCAGATCAGGGAATGAATGAAAACTGAGCGGCCAACAGTGGTCCAGTACCTTAAAAGCAAGTAATTTGGATGGCTCTGGCAATAAACTCAAGTCAATATATTGGCCTCTATCTACCCTTATTACATCCTGTTGTAATTAGTTAGGAATGACTTTGCAAAAAGATCTCTGCTTTATAACTGTAACTGAGTTAAAAGGTTATAACATCTTGATCAGTCAACTTAATTTGCTTGGTCTGGGATTGTCTGCTTCTTCTGCAACTGTATAGTTGTTTGGCGATTGCTGCCCCTACTCTGGAAAAAATGAAATTGTTGATTATGGAAATTGCTTTTTTAGATGTATTTTTTCTTTGTCTGAACCAAGCCACCAGTAATATGTTAACACCAAAGTAGGCAACTGAAAGAAGTTTGCAAGTCACACACGATCTAGTGTAGCCTACAAACGTCCTTCAGTATAACTACATAGATCATACCACTTGTGATATCATTTCATCATATGCTCAGTTGTGACCCTTAACTGATTATTTTTATAAACATTTGATCCTCAGCTGCCAAGAAATTGCTCTCTGCTTTAGAATTTCTTACCTGGTATCAAATGGGGTTCCATCCAGAAGTGTGCCATTGTAGTAGTATCGTACAAAGTCTGAATTCTCCACTGTGCGATTACACTGTTGTGGCTTGTGGAGAGTGGTGATCTGCAACTTATCTTCTTTGTTCCAAATGTCAAGCAAGATGACATCAAAATAGAGGGTGGTATCTGGTGGGATGAGACCAGCTAAGGGATTGAAAATAAGATCCACTATAATGGAGACCAGGAGAGTACCATGTACACAGCATTATATCTTTCCATATTATCATATAGCTAGAAAATATTGGCAAAGAAAATGGTGAAAAAAACAATTATGGATGAAAAGATATGATGTGGAAGGGAAAAAAGAACTCTGGAAAATACTATGCATATTTATAATTGTGATTGAGAAGCAACTTTCTAATTTAGATCTGTAAGCATAATTCTGCTCTCATCTTTCCAGTCAACATCAGAAGTTTGATACTCACCAACACCGATGCTGCCATAGCCAAGGTGTGGTGGCACAATGAGATGCCTCCTCTCATTCACACACATGCCCTGCAGGCCCCTGTCCATGCCAGTGATGAGTCGTCCCACACCTGCAATACCTGCCACAGTAGCACCTCGGTCATAGCTGGAGAAGAAAAATTATTGTCAGTGGCCATTAAGAATAAATAATTAGATAATTGTTCTAAATTGACCACTAATCAGTAACAAAATGTGGCAGTGTAGGGAAAATCAATGAAGTATAAAATTTATATTTATTTATTAGACAAATGTATATAATGGCTAAGTACCAATAGAATTCCAGGTGGTGAACAGATAATATCATACAAATTTACAAATCAAAGAAAAATCTAAGCCAAGGACGCTTAAAAAAAAACTTCAGCAATGGAACCTGGAACATGCCCACTCTGATCTTGGGATGGACAGAAACATTCTGGAAATATTTCAGCCCCATGCCATGTAGGCCTTTAAAGGTGACAACTAGAACCTTGAATTGCCTATAGAAACCAGTTCATGTTGCAGTGTGTTGTGTGGGTGTACCTCACAGCATACCCAGTACTGCATGTATTGCATCTGGATCAGCTTCCAAATGCTGAAAGATGTGTTGCAATTCTCCAACTAGGTAGTGATTATGGCATGAGTGACATAAGCAGTACCCCCCAATCTAGGAATACAAGTCTGCAAAGAATCTACTTTGAGTTTGTGCTCCTTGAGCAAAAATTGTTGAGTCCAAGAAGAGCCCCAAATTTTGTGCTCCAATCCTGTTTGGAGCAGTGTTACCTCACCCAGATTTAATGATGAAAAAAATATGAATGTGAGGATCCCTAAAACCTTCAGCCACTCAATCTTATCAGACTTCACTAAGAAGATCCAGATTCAAGTTTCCATTTGATCATAAAGTGTGCTGGGCAGCCAGTTACTCTATCTCAGCCCAACCTACCATTCAAATCAAAACAATTTATATAGAACAATCAACTAAGCCTGAATACTGCAAATGACTCTTTTTGTTCCCTTTGAAAGGCACTTCTGTCCCCTGCTGGAAGGTTATTTTAACCACAACAGGATTTTCTCCATCTATCATATTTGTACTGTTTCAGGATAGAATCCATTCAAATCTAAATAGAGAAGGACATGACTCTGATTGTGAAAAAATAGAAAGAAAAGGAGCTGAAGAAATCAGCAAGTAAAGGTCTTATGGTTCTAATGTATACTTGCAAAAAAAGGCAAGTATAATAATGGTCACATAATAGTGGTCACCAATGCACAGAGTGGATTGACTAAGCCAGGGGTGTACATCCTTGGCAACTTTAAGATTTGTGGATTAGGTGGCTAGGGAATTCTGGGAGTTGAAGTCCACAAGTCTTAAAGTTGCCAAAGCTGGATATCTCTGGGCTAAACATTCCCTCTGTAATGATGCAGCTGAATATTTTAGGACAGATCTACTATAATTATTATTGTGCTGCAAGAGCAGAATCCATGTGTTTAACAGAGTTGTATTTCAACCTAATTATTTATCCAGATCATGGATGGATATTCTGCAAATCTTTCCTTCTAAAATGATCCCTTTTTTCTAGCATAGAAAAAAGAAAGTGAAACATGATCTCTAGTTTCCTTCGCTCAAGAGTGGAATAGCAGAATCTTACATTCCAAATGCAGCTGGAGGAAAGGCTAGCTAAGTCAGCATGGCCTTTCCAAAACTGCAGTTTAAACTGGGACTGAATTTTCCTTACCAACAAGTCTTCTGAAAACTTAAATTAGCCATAAACTTGCATGCATTTTATAGGACTTGCAGCCTACTTCATATATTTGGAATAGGAATGGAAGCCAATATTTTAGCTTGCAAAATCTAGCCATTCAAAATTAACTTTTCAGTTCTGTTACGGTTTCCTGCAGTGACACGTCTACAGCCAAAATTTCAGATCCCATTATAGACACTATCTCTTTGGCACTCGTTTGCAACCCACCGTCTCTTTCCTTGAAACAGTTTCAGGACGCTGTCTAGGTGAAAATCAAAATTAAACATTAAGGGCAATAATATTTAACACTTGAAGGAAATATTGAGATATTGTAATACATTTGAACACTATAGATGTATAAGCAAAAGTTACAGTATATTCACACTCACTGATGCTGAACTAACAGAGTATTATATCCAGCTACTGCAAAAGAATTTATTGTCAACTTTTTGGCATATTAAAGGCATGGAACTTTATTGCATGGGATTATCATGAATATGACTGTAAGTTAATAGTAATGTGTTGATCTAGCGAAAGAATGCTTACATAAATACTTTTTTAAAAAGTCTTATTGGAAGATCAGCTAATCAATGGGTCTTAACCAATATAACTAATAGAAGCCTTTCTCGTAGTTTTCCCATTCAGTTGTTACTGGCATAAGAATCATAACAGTTGTAGTCAAATACAAATGGAAAGCATGGGATTAGAGGAGGCTTCCTGAGTGTTCAGAAATCCCAGGCAGTGCAAATACAGTGTATTTAATATGGGTTGTTAGGACAAAAATCAAGCAAATTATGGATATTGGTAAGAAACCCTGCTCCCAAGTTTCTAAGATGCTGAACAATAGGGAATCTTATGGCAGATGCAGAATTAAATCTTGTATCCCCAATAGTAAATCTCATTACATTCAACAAGGAACTACTTCTGGGTAGCTGTTTAACAGAATAATGCCATTAGACAACCAGGTGTTGAGGGAGCCAATAACAGTGATTAATGCATGGTACAATCCTAACTTAAATCCATTTTCTAAAAGGAATAATTATGAAACTAAGTAAAGATAAAGTTTCCACATCAAAATC